CGACAACATTCCGTTATATACCGCCACCTACAGGCCAGTCCTGCTCGCTTTTTTCTGTTATTATTTTTATGGAGGGGTTTTTTTCTCCTGTAAAATTAATCCAATCATTTTTAACTTTTTGTAAGGAGTTTTTTTTTCACCCTTCGATCATCATGTTTCTCAATGGACTTCTAATTTAGAAACTAGGAATTGCATTTTGTAAAGATTCGGCCTACGTCGTCTAAAACTCGCATGTACATTTATTTTAACTTGCTTTGATGGGACCTCGACGGGTCTTTAATAAAAATTATCTATCTATATGAAAACGGGTAGAGGTTCTTCGGAAAAATCAAGTTTTGCTCGTGAATCTTCGAGCAGGCGACACCAGTCCGTCGTCAGATGCAATGAAGACAATAGAGAGAATTGAATTGTCACACTAAACTAGCTGCTGCGACAGGACAGACAGACCGTTGGCGTGTGAGGGGGATGGTCACGAAAATATCATAGGTTTCTGAGTGGGGTTCGGTAAAAGGGGAGAGAAGGCGGAACAACTACGCCTCCCAGTGCCGGTGGGGAATGATGAATGATGGACCAGGTGGACTGCGGGCGGCTGTATTCGCGGTCGCTAGCGAGCGATTAAGGCAGGGACCAGTCAGTCGTGAACTTGGGCCATCGCAGTGGACATACAGGTCAAAATGGCGGCTGACACTATCCGCATTGGAGTACCAAGCCTGGAAAAATTCCTTCGCTTACTTTGTGTTAGACATGGCGATGACCTCGGTGCCATCCGAACTGAATCGGTGATCGTACTCCAGTGCATGGGCAAAGACGAGGGGCAGGGATTTCGCCGACGGATAGCAAGTTTGCGTTCATTGATACGGGTGCCCAATCATCGACTCGTATGGCCGACATGTAGGAGTAATTTACGCAAGGAATACAACAAATTACGTTTGTTCGTTCCCGTTTGAGGATGGCATCCTTGACTCATAATAGTGCCACGCGTAGTGAGGATGACTGTTTGTGGACAATGTGAATACACAAGCGATTTAATTGTCAGGCGATTATTTCAGAGATTCGCCGCGTAAATGGCATGGAGTAGAATTTTTGTGGTAAAACATCTTAGCTTTGGGTGGAGTATTGCGGCTGTGTCTGAGGCAGTGCATTGCGGAAACAATCGGATATCCGTTAGATCGAAATAACCGATATGGATAAGCAAGCTTTTTCGTGAGGAGATCGATGCCGCTGCAATAATGGTAGGCTTGGTGCAACTGACTCCGGACGTAGCTTCCGTCGTTAGCTGCAAAGTACGTTCACCAATCACTTCTCCGTCCTACGAACGAAGGGAGTATGGCCACGAGAGTTCTCAGCCTATTGGAGAGGAGTCTGTCAGCTGCTGATTTCACCCTCCCAAATAAAGGAGTAGGATTTAATCATTCGGATGCCAGGCCAACAAACTTTTTAGCTGGCCATGGATCTGACATTCCATCAGACATGCCTGCGGACACACGCTGCTGTGTCGCTGGTATCCTTCGACAAAAAAGACGCCAGCAAATTCTGCCAGCCGAATAAACGCAAGGATTACGAGCACTGAAATCGGATCACAGTATTGTTTTCGGCCCCGCTGATAAGGGTGGCGCTAATGTCAACACGGACAAAATTGACAGTGTTAAAAAGACTATGAAGTCTTCAGTGACATGAAGGCCTATAACTTTTCGCCGAAGACTCGTCGGAAAAGTAAGCCGCGGCCATCAAGAAAGGTGCTAAGGAGTCTGCTCGTCTGAAAGTTTTAAGTTTAGATGGCTCAAATTTGATGACCATCAGTAATCCTCATATCGGACACGCGTATGGTCTCCCGAAAGTGCACAAAATGGATGCCCCGCTGAAGATAACAGTGTCGCCTTTCGGATCACTTAGTTAAAATACAGTCATCTGACGCGGCTTACTCACGAATAGAACTGCAGCATTAACAACTTTCGTGCATTCCACCAGGAGATATAAGGCCTTAAAGTAACTAAGTATATAACGTTGCTGCCTCGTTTTAGTCTATACAATACGACTTGGCGATTAGCTGCGTAGCTCGACAGTTCAGCCGTCGTTGCCGACGATGTCCACCGTTTGCTCCACGACAGGGCGGAGCAGGGACGGTAACCTGCGCGTAAATTAGTTTAAAGCGATGATAGACTTGCGCATAACTTACTGCACTCCCTCATCCCCACTTCCCATCTGGGCCCACCGTCAAGACAGAGTCAAGAAAACCGGAGGCGTGGGAGAGCGCGGGTGGCTGGCACGACCGAAACCGCACCCAAGCGTGCCACCACGCTCCCTGGTCTACAAAATACACCTAACTGGGATTTTAACCAACGACGACAAAAGAATGGAGGCTGGCAGGACCGACGCCGCACCTAAGTGTACCGCCACACCCGTCCCGGATTCAACGGAGTGAGAGTGCTATAAAGGCCACATCAAGAAAGAGCCATTGCAGCCTGACTCTTAGACCACCACCCGGTTACTCCACACGAAAACACAACACTGGGCCGACTACGAAGTCCAAGTTATCCCGTTAGATGGCAACCTTCCAAGCCACGGTTTTTAGCGTACTGTGATTGCATCAAACGCGTCAGATTGTTTATAGGGAGGAAAATGCGCTGAGCCGTTGGCAACACTCTCTCTTCCCATTCCCAGGCCAAGGTCACTCTCCGAGCCGGCCAGTTAACAGCTGCTGGGAATGGACACGGTGGCTGACATTTCTAATGACCTTGTCTACGCAAGCCCCATGCACTACCTAGCCTCTCAGAGACAATCACCCGGATTTCACATAAGGGACGTTGAGCAGCGTATTTCTCACATGCGTGAAAGTGCCGTGGGTCACATTTAGAAGGAGCTGTTCCAACCTGGCTCTCAGCTCACCAGTCCGCCACTCCATACAAACGCATGTACAACTGGACGGACTGCGTATACTTAGTTGTGGACTCAGTCAGCAGCCTTTCAAACCACGGCGCTATAACGTGCCCTGATATTTTCAGATTCGGATCACACATGCAGCAAAAGAGCTGCATGGAGACGGAGTCAGGGAGCACCATTCCCATTCGCGCAAGAGGTAATATTTGGGTGCTTGTGGTGGGTGATGTTGATGTACGATAAGGGGCTGGTGAGGGAGGGTGTGATGATGCGGCGCGTCCGGCGGTTGTCCACCGCAGGTTTTTGTGGATGCGCATGTCATGAATTGCGCATGGGGTGAATTGATGTGCGAGTGCAGTGTGGACATTGAAGTCGGATGCGGCGAGTGTAGGTCGCTTCTCCAGGCACTGTTTCGTCAGTCTCTGTGCGACGGATTCGCAAGTAACCGACCAGGCCGATGCGTGGAATGAATGTGCGGGGCAGTGTGGACACGATAAGTCTGTGGTGTCATTACCAAACTACGGTAATGGTAGTGGTGGGTGCGCTGGGAGACGGGGTTTAAGTAGGGCTGAGCGTATTGGATGTGGAGGACGCACTGGGTGCGATAGAGCTGGTGGTGGTAGGCAAAGGGCGGATGGAGTGAGGACGGGGCTAAGCATGGTAAATATGTCGGATGTATTCAGTGGGTTGAAATTCCGGCCAATTCCGCTCTCCTGGATACGAATGCGGCCCAATAGGCCCATGCGGTGAATGAATGTGCGAGGGCATTGTGTAAAGTGGAGGCGAATGCAGTGGATGTAGGCTGGTGCTCCAGACGCCGGTTTGCCAGTCCTTGTGCGATGGATTACCAGGTGGCCGAATAGGCCGATATGTGAGATGAAGGTGCGGTCGCAATGAGGACAGGTGTAGGACAGGTCCTCACCACTGATGTCGACGGTGGGGGTGTTGGTGATTGTTTGTGTCAGGATTGTGTGTAGTGTTGATGGGCATGGCAGACACCACAGTGACAGACGTGGAGCGATGGAGGAGGAGGAGGAGGAGGTGGAGGTGGAGGTGGAGAAGGAGGAGGAGGAGCTCTGGTGGTTTCGTGAAGAGAGGGCGCAAAATCGAGGTCGGCTTTGGTCTCCACTCTCGGCTGACGGATGATGGCGGCATCGGAGATAATGGAGGGACGGTTGAGGAAGCCTCCGAAGTGCCGGTCAAACGCTGTAGAATTTCTGCCTCCTCAATGAGTACGGTACTGTCGTCGGCGTTGAGAATAAGTACTGTACTCTTGGTTGGTCAACTTTAGACGGCTTTGACTGCGGAGAAGATATTCTTCCATTCGTGGCGGTCGGCGTACCCTTGGATCTCCTCAGCCTTGCATGCCGTCCAGGCGTCTTACATCCCGCGGAGCCGCTGCTGTAAAGGCTGCGACTACGGTTGTCGTCCCTGAGACGTCCGACGTAGACTTTGTGCAGGCGGTTCTTTTCGGCGAGTAGGTTGCTGATGGCGGCGTCGTTGTCGTCGAACCAGTCCTGGTGTTGGCGGTGTGCGCGACCGAGAACGGCTAGCGTCATCGACTGGATTGCGCTCCGCAGTTGACACCATCAGTCCTTCGCTGAGGCGTTCTCGCTAGCGGCGGTAGCGACTGGAACGCTGTCTAGCCGTTGACCTAACTCTTTGCCGAAATGGAGATGGTGAGCAGGCAAAGACAACAAGATAATATTTAATTTACATGGGGATCGCCTACCTTGTGGTCTCTTGCGAGGTTTTAGGCAAATCTGCATCTTCGAGATGAGGAGGCGGTGGTCGGTCCACCCGATGGCACCCGAAATCTCTTTGTCACCAGCCTGTCCCGGCCGGTCTCGCCTCCGGACGAGAACATAGTTCGGCAGTTGCCACTGACGTGACCGAGGATACATTCAGGTGACCTTCTCTCGCATAGGGGGCAGAAGATGTTCGTCGGGGTGTGTCTGTGTTCGCCGCAGTCTCGTAGAAGGAGCAGGCCGCTGTTGCTGGAGCCGTTAAGACAATGGGGACTCGAAACTCCTGTCCAAGCAGCATGGTCTGTGCCTACGGGTCGTTGAAATCACCGAAGACAATTAACTTATCCGCCTTCGACACAGTTGCCAGTCGGGCATGCAGGTGTTCGTATAGTTTACTCTTTGAGGCGTCGAGGCTGGTCATCAGGGTAGTGTAGACGCTGATGATGTTATCGAATTTGCCTCCCCAAAAACACAGACGGAGGCTCAAGAGACGATCGCTAATGCCCTACGACAGACAAGGCAGTCGTCCCACGATGTCGTTCCGGGTGGCAAAAGCGATACCCGCGTCCCGTCGCTCTGCCCTGGAGCGACCACTTCAGAAGAAGATGTAGCCGGCACCCACCTTCTGTTGATCTTGTTCGGAGAAACGGGTCTCAGTAAGTGCAGCGATGTCCACCTTTTAGCGTGCCACTTCCAGAGCCATTAGCGCCGTCGTCCGTCCTGGTGGGTTGCTCCTCGGATTGTCTAAAAGGGGACAAATATTCCAAACTGCCAGAGTGAGCGGACTCTCCCCACCAGTCTGGCAAGTCGGGTGGCCAGATGGGGAATGTGGAGATAGATAATGTTTGTCCGATTTTGATTTTTCCGACCGTGAATTTAACGTCTGCGACCACGGTCAGGCTGCAGACGGCGGGATTCCAAAGAATTTGCTTAGGACACCTTTTCTGTCCCCCCCTCGCGGGAGTGAGCAGTGTCACCCCTAGATAGGGCTGCTCAACTGTGTCAACGCCGCTGAACTCCACAATGGGCCACGGCTTTTGTTTTGTAGAGGAACAACGCGATTTAGCCTGGGAAAGCCTACGACATTGCCGTAAGCTTGTGGCCTCATGTGGTCTACCAGGCGGAGCGTCGTCCCGACGATGGTAGTGCGAAGATCCATCCGGCCAGCGGAGTCCACGTTACTTAGCGCGCAGATGTGCACACGGATACTTTTCCTTGGTTTAGCCCGCCGGCCGAGGCGGTTACCGGGGTGTGGCCGCTGGTCAGAGCCCAGTTTCGGAGAGCAACATGTAAGAGTTGAGTGCCAGAAAATTGGCCCTAGACGTAGTCTGCACGTGCGAGCAAGTGAGCGACCTGCTACCACTGTTACACGGACTAACCACTGGACAACCTACCCTCATGCGTAGCCCAACGCCTACAAAATAATCCTATTTAGGTCCCAACACAGCATGTAATAGAACTGTTAAAACTTTGCCTTAGGAACTATTATCAATTCGACAATAAGTACTACCAACAGTTGAAGGAAACACCGATGGGCTTACCAATATCAGGACTATCAGCGACTAGAAGAGGAGGTTTTCCAAACTATCAAGCTATGCAAAGGGAGTTTTAGCCCCGGAACATCAGTATTTTTTGTACCAAGAAGGTTGCCGGTTTACAGGCCTTAATCCCTCGTGCTTTCGTAGATTTCAAAGGGATTATTTTTTATCATCTAAGCTTTTGTATAATCTCATACTTAACCCACTCACTACTTTAAAACATCTTATCCATCCCCAACATAACAGTCGCCATGAGATCTTTTTATTTCTTCCTCTGCCACGAACCGTTAAATATCGTCGGTTCTTTTCTGTGAAAACAACTGCTATTTGGAATCAATTACCCAGAAAGGTGAAAATTCTTCAGAAGTATCCTTCGTTTAAGAGAACTATTACTCGTTTTCTGCATTCAGAAAAACTCCCACAAATTTGGGTTGCTGAATCCACCGATCGAATGTACCGTAGCGATGGTGTTCGTGGTCTCTGTTCCCTATGACCGGTCTCACCAGCGGCCTTTTCTTTAGCCAACAGCGACAGATGTTCTTCAGTGCTTCTGTTTGGACCAGTCCCAAATTAACAAAGAGAAATGGCGACTAAAATTATCCCATGCAGTGCTACCCCTCGCTTTCTCGACTGTCGTCATTTCATGGGCAGCAGTTTTTTTCTCCTGAACCCTCTAAACTATGGAAAACCACCATCAACTCTATTTTTATTCCTGTTGGAAAGGTGATTTTCACTGTTGGTCGGATTTTTGTTTAGTATTTCCCTGACAACGCCCACTGACTGGTATTAAATGCATTTATTATCATTATTATTATTTAGACAAGAGGCGGAACTTTGTGCTGGATGCACATATATCCTACAGAAAGTTGACAAACCCCAAAACGAGTTTTGCGTCCAAAGACGCGCATGAAAGAGAGCATTAACAGTGTTCAACTCATGGAGTTAAAATGCCAAAACTAGAAAAGCGAAAACAAATCGTGCCAGCATTATCTCAACTAGGGATGATGATTCAGTAACTGCAGAAGCGGATGCCAATGGGATTCACATAGCGGTAACTGTACCCCTCATGTATACAGCCCAGATTGTTATGCCAGTATTTAATAACGTCGCAGAAGCTAGTTTGCCTACACCTCCTGGTATTACTGGCGGGACTGTCTTTCATTAAGGGGGTTATTTGATTAGTTTTCTAGTCTGTTGTTACTACCGAATTTCTCCTCGGGCTCCAACTGCCCAAAGGGAATTGAGTTAATTATAAGAACAAGAGGTCGTTTGTATGTGAGATAGAAAAACGTCACAGGAAGCGCTTGAAGTTGAAAGCAACCCCGATAGATATCTCGGGACCTTCAGTCAATAATGTGACCGGAAGTAAGGCAAAGGATTCCCTTAACCGCCAGCTTTGCGTAATTATTCGAGGTTGAACTGAGTTTAATGCTTCTAACCTGGAGAAAAGTAGCTTCGCCAATGTTAATCTGTTTCAATAACTGTTGAACTTTGTGCTTTGACTGAACGAAGGTAAGTAACCGTTTGTGCAATTTTTAGGATGGTGAAAAAATTAAGCAACCAGCTACCCTTAGGGTGCCCTTTGCCATATATTTATTCTTGTTTCGTTTATTACGTATGGTACAGAATATAGTCCTTAATTCCATAAAATTTCTGCAATATCACTTCGATCAAACTGAGGAAGGCAGCATGCCTTGTCCGTAATTTCAAGATTTTTGGTAGAGGAGAGATCCAAACAACTGGTTTGTTGCTATCCACGCGCTCTAGTTGGAACTAGAACCTAACACGTAATAAGAACTTCATGCGCCGTCTTCAAGAGACGGTTATCATAAGTATACTTTAAACATTTCGTGTGGATAGCACCCCATCGAATGCCGAGTGCACTGAAACCCGAATGAGAACAACATCCAGTCGACTGCCGGTCTCTTTTATGCACGCCAGCGGACAAGTAGCTGCATCAGAATCCGTCCGTGGTGGTCGGCAGATAGGTATCGTATACGTTCCTTAAAACTGGAAGTTTCCGTTTTCTCATGTAAATAACTTTAAGTACACGTAATTTGCTGCCAAATGAGTACAAGGAAAAATGTTTGTGTGCATAATTTTTATGAACTTAATTTGGATTTCTGAAGTGGTAGAAAAGCAACGGGAAAATTTCATACTAATTAAATGGCTATTTTCTCAAAACGCAGTTTTTGCAGATGGCCCGGAAGAAACTCGTTTAAGAGCCGGCATCTTGCTGTGTTTGCATTGTCTTTATAATAATAATAATTTATATAATGTTGTTCAGTACTTAATATTAAGACCCTGCTTGAGCGATCTTTTTGAGTTAAAATAGATTTCAGAACTCCGGCTAACATTCCATTAGATAGCATGTCTAGTATACCCCCCAAATTCTTATAAGTAACGGAAAGGCTGACGTCACAGAGTGTCAGCGTTTTAGAAGTAACATAACCAGGATAAAGATTATTTACAAGAGACAGAAAGGACAGCCAGGGTGGAGGAGTAGTGATATATTCGAGGAACAACCCTGTCTTATCTGCGGACGACGAGAAAGTTACTAACGGTATGCATCTAATGATGACCAACTGTCTCTTATAAAGACCCACAAAAACTAACCGACCTCAGTGATAAATATCGGGTCTGAAAAAATATATCAAAAAATGAGGGAGACTGCGAGAGAAGTTCCATGGAAACAACGAAGGTGCGGCCTTTATGGAGCAAAATGCTCTGAGGAAAAGGTTTAGGGTTTAATTTTAAAACAGAATAGAATTTTGAAATAATTTTAATCAGCTCAACCGTTAGACATCCTACATCCTCAACCGCCGCTTGAAAATGAACACACACAGCAGGGATCATATTCCAGTTTCAAGGGATGATAAGGGTCACATGATATCAGACGTCGCAAACGAAGATGAGCATCTCTCGATCCCTTCTGCCTTCTTTTGTAAAATGAGCTGATTTCTTTCCACCTAGTTATGAGAAAATGGAAGCAACAGATGTGTAAATATTCTATTTCAAGAAAAGGAGACTTCTACAGAATTGATAAACTTAGTAAACTAATAAACTCTTTAGAGGAGGCTGGCTGAAGAAACATATGAGGACTGGCAATCTACTTGAAAAGGGAAATCACTGCATCAGAACACCCAATTGTTTACTTATCTGAACATGAAACAGTGTGTTTAAAATATAAGTGCGCCATGTGCAACGTCTAGGTTCCTGACCATATGAAGGCCGCCTAATCAAACTCCAGATGCTGATCAGAAAATGCGTGGTTTAACTGTAGAGGTGGCCCAAAATCAAGAAGCATAGATAGCTGGAGATTTCAACACACCTATGATCGACTGGAACAGCTTATCAGCAAAGGGTTCGCGCAATTCCCTTGATCGCAAACTCCCAGCAGTTCGATCGTCGCATCCGACGATGTCCACCGTGTGCTCCTTAGCAAGCCGAAGTAGGCACAGCAGTTTGTGCGTGATTTGGTTTAAAGTGAATGCAGACTTGCGCAGTATGAACCGCACTCTCACCTCCTCCCCAACCTGAACCCGGTGTCAAGACAGTCAAGACCGGCGGAGGGGGAGGGTGCAGGTGGATGACGCGACCGAGCCCGCACCTTGACGCTGCACTCCGTACTCCTTGAAGCACACAGTAAATTACCAGAATTTTGACCAACAACAAAAAACGTGGCGTCCCTGGATGAAGCAAGGCTGCAATTTTTGAGGCAGCTTCAACGAAAGGCAATCAAACTGGTCGGCGTGCCGAAGTGTCTTCTTTTTCGGGAACGCTAAGAATAGTTCAAACTTTTTCCTTAGTCTTATAGGCAGTGCAGAGGTGACACGATCATGCTTTTCAAATTCATCACAAACGACAAATCCCCGAGGCCACTGAACCCGAAGTTGTCCTCTCCGGCGGCAATGACAACTGGCAAATTCAGGGCTGGTGTTGACTGCGTCCAGTCAGGCCTGAGAGTCCTTTGGACAGTGGTAGCAGTCGCTTTTGCAGGCTCGTGGGGCAAGCTCAAGTGGTGTCCAGTCAGTGTGTGTGTTGCATTTGCCGGGGGGTGGTGTCCCAGTGGCTTGTTTTGCCGGTTGCAGGGGGTGGCGCGTTCAAGTGGCGCATGGGTAACCGCAAAGCTGTATGGACGCAATTGTGTCCGAGCTGAAGTCGGTCGAGTGGCTTCAGGTGAGCTCGTCTGGAACGGTTCCATGCAAGGGGTGAATGACCTTGAGGCAGCAAGGTTTTCAACGATGACTCCAGATCGTTCATGATGGCTGCCCGCTACAAGCCTCTGTGGAAGTCCCTCCAAACTACACGCTCTCCAAGAGAGGTTGGGTGTTAGAAATCATTTATCTAAAAGTGTGGCGGGACCATTAAATAACTTGACTGAGATTGTGGTGATGTCTCAGCCTGTAGAAGTCTTCGAACGCAGACTTCAAGGGCACAAGCTTCAGCAATAAGTCGGCTGTGTATTAATACCAACGTCAAATTGTTCACTTCACGCGGACATTGTAATTCACTTGCGCACTTGCCAATAATTTCGACCGGCATAAGACAAATGGCGAGTTGAGAGGTGCGCACCATTTTCCCCAATTATCGAAGCAGGCCAGAGAGCTTCCGAACTAGCAGTCACGTGACGGCTGATCATGCTCATCTGTTTGTACACCTATTTGGTAGAGGGCGGAGACAGTTCAGCTCGATTTACCGAATAATCTGGTATACAATCCTAATATACACCATGACACATTTTCTCACACTAAAAGACAAAAGCTGTCAGTGGAACCATTCTTTCAGTCCACAGACATTTTCTTTGAAGGTCGACCCGTCGACAGTTCAGTGAATGATCTTCCAAATCTTTGTAATCCGTAAGTATGAAACATTCATAGTTTTTTACCGTGTAAAAGTCGAAATTCCTGGCCGTCCAGCTGTTGGTATCTAGCCGGATCTGCAGTCATTATTCAAATTCACCACAACGCCTACTGACGTATTTCTTTCTTTTTCTGAGGTAGACATACCCCGAAACTTTACGCGTCATATCAAACGTCCAACAGTAAAATAGTCCGGTAAAAGTAATATAAAATTGGGGGGCCGTTTATTGGTCTGCACCACAGGCCACTTTTGATTTCAGTAAAGAGCTACTGGGAGAAATTCCAAATTCAATCAGAATTGCGAACTGGGAAAGGTGGAATTAGAGACAGCCACCGGTAGAGGGGTCAGACTTTTGCGTACCGGCACTTAAAAGGGACACACCACTCTCACATATTCGTCTCCGGCATAACTCGATGAAACCAACAGTGTCCACTAAAACAATAATTTTATCATCGATCCTGCCTGTTCATTGCAACCGCACGTAAAAGCAAAATGATTGCTCTGTTTCCGAGCCCGGATAGCTCAGTCGGTAGAGCATCAGACTTTTAATCTGAGGGTCCAGGGTTCGAGTCCCTGTTCGGGCGCCCGATTTTGCATCGGATGTATGGGTTGTCTGCTTGAGATGCTTCGTGTACTCTATGCCCCTTAACGTGGGGAGTTATGATGCGTAGACTGCTTCCCACTGCCCTCATTATTATACGGATTGTCCTTCCCGTCTATATTCACTACTGTTGGGTTCTGCACGTCATTTTCATAAATTAATAATTATCTTTGCCCATGGCAGTTTCAGCACTCTTTTTTAATTACTTGAACAATTAATCTTTACAAACGGTGTTCCAAGCACAACTTAAAACGATACATGTGTGTGTGTAATGAAAATATACAAACTACTAATATGATCCTAGTAGTATTATCATTTGTCATTAATACTACCATGAAAATGGAAGTCGTGTCCTAGACGAATGGTAAGGACTAGGGAGAGCCGTCCGAAAATCCGGTTTTGTCGAACACGTTTTTGACAGTGTCCCTTGCGTGATTTCCACAAATTCTCAGAAAACAGCCCGATCAGTCCAGCAAGTCAGATAATCAGGTGTCTTTCTCGATGGGTACGGCGAACACTCGCGAGACCCGATCGGGTCCACATTATCATAAATCTGCACAGACTTTCGCTCGTTTAACACATTCTTTTCGTTCTATTCGGGGTGTGATCTCCCCTTTGATGTCCAATCTAAAAGTCCTCGGTCTATTCAATAGTATTCAATGGTAGTACGCAACCACAGAAAATTTCGGGTGGCGAATCTCCATTCCAGAAGTGGCGTTTTTTTTAGCACGGCTGTCGTTCAAACAGATCAACCCGTCCTCTTACACTTATTGTTCCAGAGGCGTCTCTTCTCGTACATCTTGCTCAGTCGGGGCTACAGTATCCGCAAAAGTCATTAAAAACAAAGAACGGTCTTTTACTTTAAATAAATTAGCCGTATTCTCAGTCGACGCCCGTCACAGATAAATTGTCGGTCCCACCCACGTTATACGGGTGTTTTAGTTATATTATATCGCTGACTATTATGTTCCTATCAAAGCTGCAGATAGTACCGCATTAATAAAAGGTAGTCGTGATGATTCTCCATGTTTTTTCACGACAGCAAGGTCTCCTACAGCCATTTTCTGAATATGGGGCTTTTTACTCAAAATCCACCAGCTTGCCAGATTCTTACAATTATAAGTAGAAAACTGCGATCTCCGATATATTATTTCTGGCCTTGACTTCCAGTTTACGTAAACATGCGTACTATTTCATTTAAAATAACTTAATCTTCTAACGAGAACACGTGAAGGACAAAGGGCAAACTGCCTGGATCTGGTCTTTACGAAAACACCAGACAGCATAGACGAGATCGCCTCCATGCCGCCCCTTGGCCGAAGTGACCACGTAGTGCTTATGTGGGATTATTTGTTATTCTCCATTTCACACACTCCAGACCACAAAAGGCGTAATGTTTGGCGGGGCGATTTCAATCAGATGAGGGCAGACTTATCCGGTCTTGACTGGGGCTCTTTGTTTACGGGAAGTGCCAACGATGACTGGGAGCTGTTCAAGAATGTCCTTCTGCAGCTCATCAACAACCACTGCCCACTGACTAGTGTAAAACTGAACAAACGCCCTGGGTGGCTAAATAGCAACCTCAAGAAAGAAATCAACAGGAAGCACAAATTGTGCAGAAAATACTGCGTCACTAGACAAGCTGAATGCTTCAACACCTACAAGGCACAGAGGAACAAACTGAGGAAGCTGATAATTCAGACGCGGCGGGAATTCGAGAAGAACTTGCTACAAAAAGCAACGCAGAACCCAAAATTGCTCTACAGCTACCTCCGACGAACTACAAGGAACAGGCATCAAATCCCCTTGATAAAGACTACTGATGGCGTTGAGATCGCTGATAGTAGGGATAAAGCTGCGTATTTTTCACGGTTTTTCCAATCAGTATACACAAACTAGGCAAGGTTCCTTCCTCCCTACACAGAAGAACTGCCGACTCCAAGCGTCAGTGATATACTCTTCTCAGAAGGCATTGTCCGAAGAGAATTAGAGGCATTGAACGAATCGAATTCGCCAGGACCAGACGAGATTCCATCCAAGCTTCTGAAGGAACTCGCCCGTGAGCTCTCTGTGCCTTTGTCGATGCTCTTTCAAACGTCATTTGACACTGGAACACTTCCTATCGATTGGAAGCTGGCGCATATTACTCCGCTACACAAAGGAGGTAACAGGGCAGCGACGACAAATTACCGGCCCATAAGCTTGACATGCATTCTCTGCAAAGTTATGGAAAGGATCATAAAGAAAGAACTGATGCAATTCCTGGAAGTTCACGGCCTGCTATCCAAATGCCAACATGGGTTCCGAAAAGGAAGATCCTGCACGACAAACCTGCTGCAATCTCTCCAGAGCTGGACCCAAGCTCTCGACGACAGGCACGCGGTCCACATAGCCTTCATCGACTTCCAGAAGGCTTTCGACACTGTGCCACACCAAAGGCTCTTACATAAGCTGAAAAAAATAGGGATCGGTGGCAACTTCCATAAATGGATCGAAAACCTCCTTGTGGGTCGACAGCAGGTTGTGTGCGTCGGTCGGGGAAAATCAGATCCGGCTATGGTCGATAGTGGTGTCCCCCAGGGTTCAGTACTGGGACCCATTTTGTTCCTTATCTACGTGGACGATGCCGCAAGAGATTTGGACTGTGAAGTAGCAATGTTTGCGGACGACATGAAGATATGGAGTGTAATTCGGGGTCCTGCCGATGAAGACAGACTGCAGATGAACCTGAATCGGTTGGAGGAGTGGTCAAACCGGTGGCTCCTGCGGTTCAACGTTGCCAAATGTAGCATACTTCGCCTAGGCAACACAGCCAGATCCGCCAGCACAAGAGGCTACTTTCTGGGTGGTGCAGCCCTACAAGAGGTCGAAGCCCAAAAGGACCTCGGTGTGCTTACGACGAGTTCCCTAAAACCATCCGTCCACTGTTCGAGGGTGGCAAAAACCGCAATGTCCGTACTGTATGCCATCAAGCGTGCGTTTATGGACTTTGACGAAGAAGCTTTCTCTAAGACATTCGGAACATTCGTCCGGCCGCATTTAGAGTACGGCATACAAGCTTGGAGGCCGTGGGCTGTTGTGGATCAAAACTACCTCGAAAGAGTCCAGAGGAGAGCCACGAAGATGGTCAGGGGTCAAAGCTCCTTTCCTTATGCGACCCACCTAGTAAATCTGAACCTCTTTCCCTTGAGTTACAGGCAACTTCGCGGAGATCTCTTGCAAGCCTTCCGCATTGTAAAGGGGTTGGATTGCAGTCTGGCCTTCGAGGACTTTTTTGAATTTGCTACCACGACCAACCTCCGAGGTCACCCGTTAAAACTGCGCACTCAGCAGGCACGGCTGGATGTGCGGAAGTTCTCCTTCTCGGTTCGGGTGGTCAAACCGTGGAATGAGCTTCCCGCAGATGTTGTGATGTCACCATCTATGCAAAGTTTTAAGAAGAATCTGGACATATTTATGTTCCGAAATGACCAAGAGCGATGAGAAGTCGAGCTCACCCCCTGTAACTCCTTTTCATTTTGTCCCACCATTATGGGCGTGTTGGAACTATTTCAGCCCAGAACATCTATCTGTACACCACACATTTTTTACGTTGCAAATAGGGTACTCAAAGGCTTACGCCTATTTCCCTCAATAAACTGAACTGAACTGAACTGAACCTGTTATAACAGAATTAGAAATGTGATTTTTTTAAAACAATATAACTCCTTCTTCGTTTTGTTTTGCGGCTTTTTTCAGTTTATTTGGTAAGGATAATAGGTAAAGCCTTTGAAAACCCTATTGATTACATGTCAGCTCGTTAGAATAACTGTACACAAACAAAAAATGTTCACTATTAAAGCAGTACTTGGTTCATTTGAGTAGCATTGTCTCAGAGAAAATATTTGTCTGGACCAGGGGTATTAATTCAGATTCAGACTGTCGAGGGAAAACAGGGGACACAAATAATCATCCAAGCGTTTCTTGAACAGTTGCAGGGATGTAGCCTCCACGACTGACTGAGGGAGATCGTTCCATTTCTCCACTACCCTCTGCGTGAAAAATTCAGAACGGAGATTCAGCCCGGACATTGTTGTCCGTAACTTCATCGAGTGACCACGAAGATTGGGTGAAAGGTGCCACTGAAACATATCCTCAAATTTAGGTCCATGCTCAAGGCCATGTATTATCTTGTAGACGAGGATAAGATCACCTCTTTGCTGCCTGTAACACAGAGGGAATAAATTAAGGCAATTCAGTCTGTCTGTGTAGGATTGTCTTTTTAGACCGTTTACCGGCTTTGTTGCACGCCGTTGTACCCGTTCGAGGCATTCTTGGTCCTTTACCAGCCATGGCTGCCATGCTTGTATGCCATATTCTAAGTGGGGCCGAACAAATGTGCCGTAAACTCTCCCAAAAAGGTCTTGGTCAAAATTTACGAAAGCCCTTTTTATTGCATGCAGCACTCCCATGGCGTTTTTTGCAGCCTTGTGGCACTGCAGTGTTGGTTTCAGGTTGTTGTGTATCCAAACCCCGAGATCCTTCTGTGAAGATTCTGCGGGGAGCCTTATATCTTTCAGGTGATAAGTCCTCAGACTCTCATTTGAAGGAGAGTTGGTTGGACGCAGATGAAGGACGGCACACTTCTCCACATTGAAATCTAGAAGCCATTTCTTCGACCACGCTTGCAGTCGGTGCAGATTATCTTGAAGGGATCTCTGATCATTCGGACCCTTAATGACTTGCCAGAGCTTAACGTCGTCTGCAAACATTATTTTGCCGCAGTCGAGTTCCTGAAGGCTTACACTGCCCCGTCGTCGCATCCCTTTCTGCTGCTGTCTGATCCTAGGGACGGCGAGATTCAAGGTTGATAAATATTCTAGATATCCATCAGCAGTCAAGATACTGACGCTTGGCTTAGGGAAGATAACATTGTCCGTCAGTCAGATGTTCGATAGGGCAAGTTCTATCGGTGCTTGGACCTCCCCCCCCCTGAGGATTCGATCCTGCGGGACGTCCACATAGTTAGTGTGGCAGTAGACTTCGGTAAATCTCTCAGATCACAGCTGGTGTTTCAGTCCCTTTGTAACGAAAGCATTTCCGCATTCTCGAACAATGGGCATGGAAAGTGAGAATGAAATCGCGACTTATATTACTCACTACTCACTTAAGCGTGAATGTGGAGTCCATACTGACGGCAGCAATAAGGTCATGGTTTCATCCCGATAAACAAAGGGTTGAAGACTTCAGACTGGTCTCACTCTCCACTACTCCACTGAAGAATACAGTGGATCTAATGTCTGTGTACCATTGCAATTATCAGGCAACCGCCACTTCCTCTGGGCAGGAAGGGCAATGAGACCCGCCAGCCTAACTTTGTGATGGGTATTGAGGCGGGAAGCGACGGGTCCGCGCACAACGAAACATTAACATACATAGCCTGTTGAAGCACGCACCATATGTTCCCCATAGGCGAATTGCTTTTCCCTTGTCTATAAAGGAATCATATATCATTTTTTACCATGGTTTCACTAGAGAAGAACTGCCTACCATCAAAAGACAGACGACCCATGTCCTGCAAAAACTTAAGACGTGACATTTGTCACAATGGGGAAAAAGAAAGTCTGGATATTTTGTGGAGAATTTTCCGTAAAAACCGCAAAATTATCTAATATGATCCCATGATACACGATCGGTAATTAAGGAGAAAAGGAGCTCGCCTGCTTACTCCACGCAGCAGTATTTTCGGTCGGCAGTCCCGTCGTAATCCTGCTGAACACGCCTACCGCAAATCAAACAGACACTTATAAATAAAAGAAATTGATCGTTTCCTTAAAATTTCTGACTGATACTGTGGTCTTCTTACAAAAGCGTCACAAAATGTACGCGTTTGCACTTGACGCAGGTAGTTTAACCTTTAGTTTATATTATGGTTAAGTAATTTCCCCCCTCCAGATTTCCGTTCTCACCACTGTCCTGATTCAACCTTTCCCCATTTAAAGTTCGAAATACGTAATAGGGAGGACTTTGTACGTTCAACTACGTACTCCACTAAGAAAGGTCCAGTAGGGTTTACTGAAAGAAGGTCAACTGCACAGATTACAAGGGTATGATAGTAATACTTGAAGTGTAGACTTCGCACTCGAAAGGGTCACCTGCGGATATTGTAGGAGAGGAGAATACAACAGACTTGAAAAAACTCATTTAGCAAGCATAGCACCCATGTTTGTCAGTCGACTAGCTTCACAAAAAACGGCAGAAAACCGTTTTCTGCTTGTTAGGCCCTTCTCAGAAATCCCGCATTAAAAACCATCATATGCAAGCGATGAGAACATATGGTAAGGCAGTATACACTGAAATGTTTAATGGAATGTCGGTTAGTGCACGAAGACTTTCGATATTTCCATCCCCAGGGCTACACTCGTATGGCAACCATTTTTATCTTCATGCGCACTTTGAAGCAAGTGGAGCGAGATTCATCTCTTTGCAACCAAACCGCGATATCATTGGACTAATCGCTTGGGAAATCTAAAACAGATTTTGGTTATTACCGAACACTGGCGTTGGTCTATGAGTTTAAGCACAACAGTTGCGGGAGCGTTGATAATACAGGGCATCAATAATCTACAGTACACTGTTCGTCAAATCAAAATCAATAGGGTTTTCAAAGGCTTTGCCTATTATCCTTACCAAATAAACTGAATAAACTGAACTGAAATTCAGCATAATCCCATATATATGCAAGGAGGGCAGGCAGAGCCTTAAAAAACCCTATTTACAGCTATGTGAATGAAAAGCATTCACATATTTACCTACCAGTTATGCCAGCCATTAATATTGAGCGAGTATTCAAACATGAAGCATAAATTTATCAAGCCTCTTTTGAACGTCTCAGCGTATTCCGCCAGGGCAACGGAGTTCGACAAATCATTCCACCCCTTAACCAGTAGATGGGAGAACAATTTGGCTGGTACTTAGAGTTCGACGTACATTATCTTCAATCCGTATTGTTGGCCTCGAAGATTGGTTGTTCGTGCCAGTTCGGAGAAATTATCAAGTTTCTGCCACTATATCTGATCATGGGTTCAAGTAAGGATCCGAAGCGTCAGGCGAATAAGGCGTTTGTTCCAGAAACCACTTCTTCTTCTTCTTATCAATAATTGCATTTAATACCAGTCAGTGGGCGTTGTCCGGGAAATACTAAACACAAATCCGACCAACAGTGAAAATTACCTCCTGAAAAATACGTCGGAACTGTGCGACCGCCCCCTTACAGCTGGCCAGATAGACTGACAACCAACAACTAGAGCAAACCGAAATTTACCCAACAGGAAAATAATTTCAAGGTCAGGCCGATATCAAAGTTCTTCAATTGCCATGAAGGACATATTATTCATGCCCCCGAAAACTACCAAACTGCAAACTTCAATTTTATATTGTACATATCGTTATTTTTTGAAACTTTTGTTATTATTTTCCCTTAGAACTGAGGTTTTTTTTAACTTAAAACAAACTCTCAATTCGCGCTCTTTTGGCTAACCAGACACCCGAAGCAAATGAAGTCAAAGTGCAGTTGAAATTGACGAGTTTGTTTTAGGTTTTTTTCCTGAGTTCAAAGGGGACTGACAGTGCCCAAGGGGCGCTACAATAAACCTATTCTATTCTATTCTAACAGGAATAAAAAATAGAGTTGATGGTGATTTTCCATAGTTTAGAGGGTTCAGGAGAAAAAAACTGCTGCCCATGAAATGACGACAGTCGAGAAAGGGAGGGGTAGCACTGCATCGGATAATTTTAGTCGCCATTTCTCTTCGTTAATTTGGGACCAGTCCAAACAGAAGCACTGAAGAACAGCTGTCGCTGTTGGCTAAAGAAAAGGCCGCTGGTGAGACCGGTCATAGGGAACGGAGACCACGAACACCATCGCTACGGTACATTCGATCGGTGGATTCAGCAACCCAAATTTGTGGGAGTTTTTCTGAATGCAAAAAACGAGTAATAGCTCTCTTAAACGAAGGATACTTCTGAAGAATTTTCCCCTTTCTGGGTAATTGATTCCAAATAGTAGTTGTGTTCACAGAAAAGAATCGACGATATTTAACGGTTCGTGGCAGAGGAAGAAATAAAAAGATCTCATGGCGACTGTTATGTTGGGGATGGATAAGATGTTTTAAAGTAGTGAGTGGGTTAAGTATGAGATTATACAAAAGCTTAGATGATAAAAAATAATCCCTTTGAAATCTACGAAAGCACGAGGGATTAAGGCCTGTAAACCGCTACGAAAATGTCCTGTGTTCCATGGTTGAAACTCTCTTCGTGAAATATTTTTGGACGGACTCTATTTTCTTTCTCTCAGCAGCATGTATGAGGCCACGTAGGACGAACAATACTCCAGGCCAGGTCTAACGTGCATGCTATAAATGCACATTCTAATTTCGGGGGTAAGTCCGGTCGTTCTAGTGCTTTACAGACTGTCATGACGCAGTGTTCCGAAAGATTAAGATTCTTGAGGTATTATTCACCCGGATCCTTAATAACCCCAGGCAAATATATGTCCTGACATTCAATACTTAGTTCAGGTTACATCGTTAACAAAAAGGCAAAATAATAGAGGGCCAAGTACACCACCCTTAATGACTCCACTCCTCACATATGGGGGGTTGGAGATAGCATTGGAAATCTTAACCCGTTGTTTGTGATCACCCAGGTAAGAGGATATAAAATTCAGAAGTTCATCACCCTTTCCGAAGGAGGAAAGTTTGAAGAGAAGAAGTGTATGGTCAACACGATCAAAAGCCTTGGTGAAATTGAAATGGACTGTGTAAAGTGCAAAACTATTGTCACTAGGTTGGAGAAAATGATCAAAGAAAGCGAGTTCACAGGTGTCACGAGACCGAGCTTTGAGGAATCCCCTCTGTGCAGCGCTTAGCAGGTTATCCTCTTTTAAACGACACGTCATCTTATCTTTGATCTGTTTCCCTAAGATTTTCGAAACTGTGGTGAGGGTGTTTATTGGCCGAAAGTCATCAAGTGACGTAAGTTGGCCATGATTGGGAATAGGCAAAATGAGTGATTCCTTCCACAAAGTGGGACAGGTTTCACTTTCAATAGCGAGATTCCATATCTTGCCTAAGAGGGAAAGGAAAATTATATTAGCACTGGGACACCATCGGGTCACGGGCTAGGAGATTGACGAAACCACCGAATCGCTACAGTCACGATCAACAGAGTGACATTTGTAGTTTCGAGAACTGCCCCGGTCAATGCCTGAAAAGTCATAGGGGGAACGGTCGAGTTTTTAATAAACGTTTTGGACAGGAAAGCATTGAAACTAGCTTACTACAATTACGACTAAGGCGCGCTCTGGCCGTCTGTGTTCGAGGATACAAAGAGAGCAGACGCGGGTTCTGCTTGCCAAGATGCTTTCAACCAGATTTCTTTCAAGAAAAGCGTCGACATCGATCGCATCGTAATGTGGACGATGAATTAACGGCTTCAGAAACTTCAGAAAAGTGTCGACATCGATCGCATCGTAATCTGGACGATAAATTAACGGCTTGTTGTTCGTGAGCAATTAGACGTCCTTTTCGGATGCAGTTTTCTGGATGACAACGGGTGCCTGACGGGCATCTCACACGCATCAAACTGCTATACAGACAAAATGGAGAAGTGGTAAGTGCATATAAACAGGGTCATCAAGGGCTCTGCCTCTAACACTTCAAATACGTACATACATACCTTTGAAGGAGGGACCTCTTCTGTACCTGTGATGGGTGATGTGGGAGTAGTTCCTGTATGATGTATTGACTGATAACGAAATGCGTGCCTACGGGGTCTGGTTTGCGGCACTTTACTGCTGATTTACATGCGTGCGCATGTGGTTGTGCAAGCTCATGCGTTGACTGAATGCGCATGGTCAGTGCGGGCACTGTTAGCGGGGACAACGGACTTGGTTTGGCGTTTCTGGCACTGGTTCGCAAGGCTTCGTCCTAGGAATTACCAAGTTATCGGATCGGCGAATGCGTGATGTGAGGGTTCGATCGCAATGAGAACTGGTTGGAATTCAGTCCTAAATGCGGGTGGTTGGGGTCGTAGTGGTGACTGACGGCGAGTCAGGAGTTTTCTCACCGAAGGAAGGAATGGGGAGGCGTGGTAGCCGTCGTCAATGCTGTCATGGGGCTTGCGACCGAATCAATAGAGATGGTGGGTGTGACCGACCACTCCGGCATCGACAGCGATAGGGGGCAACAGCAGTGTAATAGTCGGAAAGCACGATGGCTTTTCGAGAGACGTCCGTGTTCCAGATGACCGTTAAGAAGACTGATAAGGGCGGGAGCAGAGACATATCCCTGTGGTTAACACAGAGTCGCCGGTTCCTATTCAACATGTAGAAATAGACGATTGCAACGTCTTTGAAATTCTGGAGAACTCGTCCTTATTGTCACTTCTCTTGGAATAGCGGTTGTAGGTTTTTCTTTGGCCGAGGGAGGCAACGGTTTAATAGTTTAACCCATGTTTCGTCCGATCGCGGCGCATTCCTGCCAGTTGGCCGTTTCACGGTTTTCATTGTTTCTAGAAAAGAAGGCAGATAGTAAGTGTGGGTATTGGCTTCCACTTGGGAAAGCCGATCGATGGCAGCGCCAGATATGGTGGGTGGACAGTCGAAAACGGTTTTGCAGTATTCAGCCCAACGTCTCATAATCTTGCGATTTATCCATGGTAATCGCTGGTTTGTTGGAGCTGAGCATCGGTGAAATTCGTTTGATCCAGGGGCCCGTAGACGCCCCTAGCGGAGACAAATGAGCCTCTTATAAATTCTCTTATCCTTGTATTTCCCTGGTCTTAACATCCTTTTGGGTTTTACTAATAATTATGATTGCATTTAATGCCATTTTATAGGCAATGTCAGGCAAAGTTTAAACAAAAATCCGGCCAGTTGTGAAAAAACTCCTGCTCCCCCCGCAGTCTACGTTGTATCACTAGACGAAATCTGTTTGCGTCAAAGCAGCAGTTAATATATTCCTTGACTAGCCTATGCTTTAGGTGACTACGCTGCCGATTTATACGTTGTTATGAAGCCATTCCTGGTTTTGACGAACGAGGACCCCAAGGGCAATAGAGTGGATGGTGTCCCCAGCTGATAGCATTGTATATATGTATATATATGCCTCAACGAGGGTGCAGTCGCCAAGATTCTGAAGCTCTTTCAGATGCTGGGTTGGTTTATTGCTGAAATCTAAACGTCGACCAGACGCATTCAGCAGAATGGTGATTAGCTTAACTGGTGGTTGCTTACCTTGAGGCCTCATGCGGAGTTAAAGTTGAAGCTTCGTCTTGGGGATGACGAAGCGGTAACCCACCCAACCGTTGACGTCGCAGATTATTTTTGGGACCAGGGCGTCCTGTCAGTCTCTTCCACGGACAAGAGCCAGTCTGTCAGGTGCCAGCGCCACGAACAGTGGTGCATCATTGTTGCCTTATTCATAGTCGGAAAGAGAAAGGAGATGTTGGCGGAAAGGTGATGATGCTCTGCGCAGGTTCACAGGAAGAGGAGTTCGTTATCTTGGCAAGAGCCTATTCCGTGGGATCCTAGCAGCCCCTCCCAGGCAGCTTGACCAGCTGTGACGCGGCCATTGAAGTCACCAAGTGCAGTCAGCTTGTCCGTCTTCGGCACCGTCAGCTGAGATGTGTGTAGGATTCTGTAGAACTTGTTCCTCACCTTGTCTGATTTGGTCATTGGAGGTCGTAGGCGCTAAAGGTGGTGGCGTGTTGGTTCAGCCGGAAAGGCAGGCTTGGAACCGATGGACGACAATTGATACTCTGAAGCCGACATGGCAATCGTTCTGCGATGTCGTTCCGGATGATAAGGGCAACGTCAGCTTCTCGTCGCCCTGCCTCTGGCGGAGGCTGCAGAAAAAGGTGTAGCCGGATATTGAGTGACAAGATCCTTAATCTCCAAATGGAAACGGGCAGTCCTGATTGAAAGAATGAGCAAAAGCCTTATTGCAGTCTGTAGCGTTAGAAGGTGGGAATGGAGACGTGGGTTGATGCATTTTCGACCGAGGGCTTTTCATATTCAAGCCAGTGTATGCTTGCAGCCATATTCTTTGAGCATAAACTTATCAGACTTTCCGTGTTTGCTTAGTCCCTAATGTTTATTCTCTCGACTACATAATTGCCCAAAATATGCAAGGCATATGCCATATTCAATCTTTAATTGGGGTCCCCAGTCCAGCGTTAGTAACAGCATGGACATGTATAAGACACTGCCTCAGAACATGACTTTTGATGGTATGGTTTGCGATAAAACCTTCGTTTCCCTCCTGGCTACCCAGTTTCTCAGCTCTGCTCAGCGCAAACTCTTGCCTAAAAAACCAATGGAACTTGTTACTTCTCATGAGCAGTCAGGCGTACGTAAGTATTCCTATACATTTACGATTTTGTGATTCAGAATTCATTTTCGAAGGATACCGCAGAGTTGTGAATTGAAATGACTAGTTCATGTAAGTCTGTTTTCCTGAAATGAAGCCAGAGTTGGTGGTTGGAATTTTCTCCATCCAAGTTAAACTTAACATGTTTTGGCCCACTAAACTGTTGAGACACGATATTCGTAAATGTCAGAGTTCCCAAATCACAAACTGAATAAAACCGAGTTTGAAATAACTTTACTGCGGTGAGGGAGCGTACACCTGTCGGAAGTGGTGTGGTTGACAAGACAAAGATTCCCAATCATAAGTCAGGGAAGACGGAATGAATTGGACAAGCTTTACTAAAATGAAGAGCACACAAAGGCCCTGCAAGCAGTCGCCACAAGCTCTCGCTCGATGTCGATATTGTTCGGCCCTGCGCGCTTCTGTTCTGTCTCTTAAAAGTCACGTCCACAAGGCCGCCGTCCCATGTATGCGCGTAGTTCTTGTCGTCACCCACTGATATAATATGTGCACCTGTAACCAATCAGTGAAGTAGTTGCGTTGATTGGCTTTAAGACTACAGGAGGGTAGTGACAAGCGTCGTATGGTATGGGCAGTAAATCCATCAAGGGCGTAATGCGGACAGAAGGCCGGCCACATAAGTCGGCAATCAAGAGTACGAACAGCCACATACCCTGCACATCAAGACACGACAGCGAGCGTTCTCACCAGGTGCCTGATGGCCGAAGTGCACGCGTCTGAGCTTCTTCCGGCTATGACCAACGGTGAGGAGAAAAGTACCGATCGGCATCACGGTGTCATAGAGGTTAAAACTGAGTCACATGCGCACACGCAGAGGTTGATAGATGTGTTAGGCATACTGAAGGCGACATGGGCAAACTGCAACGCAGACGACCGTGGGTGTTCATTAGCGAAACCACTCGTTAATGCGATCTTTCCAAGAAGTCAACACTGAGGAATGTTCTACTATCGAGAACCCACGTCTATTTTTTGAAAAAGGTAAATTTATCCGCCAGTGAAGATCGCCCTTTCTCTGACTCTGTCCAGAGGTGTGTTTTTACATCAACTAACATTCCCCTGACAGCATTAAGGCCTTAAGTATACTTCGCGTTCTGTTTTCGAGTTTCAAAAGGCCGTTGTCCTCCCTTTCATCTGATGAATGACAGTGATCAAATTAAAATTGAGAATCTTCAGTTTCCTACTCGAGACTCTCCTTCCCCGCCGCGACTGCTCCCGCATGCATTTTCCAGGTAACTCACGTGATTTTTAAGTCAGAGGCATACTCCAGCATACTATTTCGCGTACTTGGCAATGAAGTCCAGACTTCAAATGAAACGGTGCGTCCTTCACCTTCCTATTTAATCTGTCGTATTACCAGTGGAATCCCATCACAACTGCTCATGTAGGACAGATGATTTCGTCTAGTTTTCAGTGTCACCTCGACCATAATTCACAGCAACATCCACTATACAGCCTCTCTGTCCTAATTCAGCTACCTTATAGTAGTGCTCAACCTTCCCTTCTGTCTTCACCCCCTCCAAATTGTACATCTCCACATATACTCCAACCGGAGGATCTCAATAACCACAACCCTTTTAAAAAGTCGGACGGGAGCCTCCGACTCCCATTTTCCACAAAAAGTGTGCCTCTTCAAGCCGCCGTCCTACTTCTGACGGGATCATCTGGTTTTATCCATTTGAGACGGTCAAATGGACCACAAATTTGATTATACTTTGAAGGCAGCGTGATTCACTGTCAATGCGTTTTTGTGGTATTTCAGTTTTTTGAAAAATTTGATAATGCATTGGTAAAACATTCTCGCTCACACACAGTAACATGTTCGGACTATTGATCGCCGGCATTGGTGACTACTGACAAATAAGGTATGATATTGCTCGGGAAAAGTGCGGAACCCGCATATCGACAACGGAGACGGAGAGGAGACGGCCGGTCTAGGTTATTGTCCGTTCAACAACTTGGAGTCACGAATAAAGCAGAGAAAAATGCGATTTTGTTGCAGAAAAAGTGATCTGAGGAAGCACTTAAGGAAGTGGGTAAACGGAAAGTTCAGGTCAGATTTTACTAGACCGAAATGCAGACGGAAGGGACAAAGCCGGAGGTGCGTATTGGTCATTCTGGGATTACCGCTTGTAGTATTCTGCTCTTGTTTATCCCGTCATCTGGAGTAACTTTTTCTTACTATAGACAGAAATAGAAGTAGCGCTAAATGGCATTAGTCTATTGAGATACGCAACAAGATATTTTTAATATTAGATACCCAAATCTTGCTCCGAGGCCCAAGGACTTTAGCAGTTACGAGCCAAGGAGGGTGAGGTTGGGGGCTGCCACCGCGGAGGGAATAGGTCCAATTTGCACTCGCGCTAAAACGATACGCAGCACACACACGTTAGCCTTCCCGCAAGCCAACGCACTACGTACTTCTCGTTTTAGAGAGACTGGTCTGAGTTCTGTTCGCCCGTTACAGTACCGGCCAGCCTGACGGGGATTTTATCCGAAACACGGTGAGAGAAGAGACTTCCTCGGGAATCCTGAATGCGGTCCGTGCAACGTATGGGGAGTGTAGATGATTGACTCTCGTTCCATTTCCTGTAAACTCCGGCTTAACGTTCACCCTCTTTCCAGAATGAGGGCACTGACCGTAGAGTTCTACCACTAGTACCTTCCTACGACCCTCTCCCGTAGTTTTTGATGTTGCTACACCCCACCAGTTGTCTCTCAATTATGTTGGTACCACCCCAATTTGACCACACGTAACTTTATTCCATTCCCTTACCTCTGAGTACTATTTTACACCCAGACTTGTTTCCTTGATATAGCTATCTGAAACGGAATACGGACAGGGCAGAAAGAGAATTTAACCTAATATACGCAAATATTCGGGGTCCAGATATGTTTTTGTGTTCATCATAGTTCCAGGAAGACATTGGCCTTAATGGGGTTTTATGGTTACCTTACCCCACGCTACATGAAGTGTTAGCTCTGAGCCATTCTGACTGGCAAGACTCCATATGCATGCTTGAGATCCCACGTTACCCAGGTTGACCGTTTGAATTGTTCATAAACAAGACTATTCTTAGGTCTTTACTGGTTCACCTTTACGGTAACTGCTAAACAGATGGTTCTTAACATCCATCACTTTCGTATGGATAAAGTTTAAGTATTAGGCTAGACACGTGGTCAAATGTGTACCCGTAAAGCTTCTGTCAGGTTTAGTGCATAGATTTGACTGATTCCGCAGCGACCAGTGATTATATCATAACATGCGAAAATCGGCTACACTCCAAGCGAGCTCTCTTGTTGATTTTGGGGCACTCAATTACCCAATGCTTTCAGAGCATTCAACTGTGCTACGAAAGCTTGCAAGAAACTCTGGGTTATTCGCAGGTCTTAGTTTATACAACTTCTCCATGACATCTAGATTTAGGGGAGATCGCTCTAAAGTCACCCACTATCACCCGGCACTGAGAAGCTTAAAAGCCGGGACACCGCAACTAACTCGTCCTTTTCCTTCTCTGGCTCATCCAAACCAGCAAGAGTCAGTGAAATCGTTTATTTCTGGAATGTAGCAAGTCCAGTCATCTTCCTGAGATTGACCGTGGAGACTGTTCTAGGAATGCCATTTAGGTTCGCCATTCCATGCGATTTTGCCTGCTTTTACAGTTCTCATGCACATCTACCGGAAAGTGTCGACGATTTAATTCATACGGTCCTATACAACGTCAAACCGTAGGCGTTCACTTTTCTTTTATCTGTTTACTTTCTACGATTTTTTACCCAGCCAGGTTCCTCTATAGAGGTCAGGTAAATAACTTTGAATTTTAACTACTAAACTTCAGAGATGTCGCTCCGAAAGTTGTCTGGATGTTTGCGCCTTTACTCTGGTGTGGCCTACGAACCGAGCTTTTTCTCTCGCAGATGCTTCACTACTCTTCATCCCTCCACTTTGGCTGCTTGCGTTTACCCTCGCCAGACAAGCGTCCTAGCTGTACCATTACAGTTCACCTATCCGCTGGAACTGCCTGTTCGATTAAAGAGCAAAGGCCAGTCCAAAGTAAAGCATGAGAGTGCGCCAGGTAAGGAGACTCCTTCACCTGTCTGTCTACCTTACGTTTAGTCAAGGCCGAGAACTTGTCTGAGGATATACGTTCCACTTTACACGAGGCTGAAATGGAGAAAGACTTTGCCAGGATTCTTGATCGATTTCAGGACGACCTGTTTTTGAAACTCTGTCTTAAGCTTACACCGGAGCACTTTTTCAACCTACCTGTAAGTCTCCTCTAACCCCCTGGACGCCCAGTTTGGTTTGTTTTGGTTACGTTGCCTTCGTAATGTACAGTTATTACTGTCGTGCCGATCGGTAATGTTAGGATTGCAAGCTTAGGAAGAGCATAGGTCTCATTGTAAATGTGCGCATTTCCGACTGGACGCAAAAGCTAGTTTGACTTCGCATGCACTGCAGGAGTTCAGCCTTCACGGATTGCCGCGCACACGGTAAATGGAGTAACGCCAGAGGGGCTGTCGACAGAGATGCAGATAGACTGGTACGGCACTGTTTCGGGCACTTCATGACTTCGTCAGCCATCCGAAACCCCGATCACAACCTGGGACCAAAAACACAATCACTACACAGGTGGCTCCGCAGATGACGTCTACCAGATGGGTTTTCGGGCATTTCGCGGTCTAATTGTGCCCAGGGCCCCAAAGCAGAGTCCTCTCAGGCGGTGGCACTGCGATTAGTAGTGTATTCAGAGCTGAAGCCCCAAAGCACAACGGGACGAGGTTATTCCGCAATCCGACCGGCAAATGCACATATAACCTGGTTAGTATTCTCGACCGCCATCGACAGAACAACAAGTCCGTGGCTCGATTGGAGTGTTGAACTTGATAACGCTTGGTGCTCAAGAAATAGGGATTCAGGACACGAGGCAAGGAACCTGGGGTTGGGTCGGTCTGACCGACGACGGCCAATAAACTGCAAATGGCCACCCAAGTCTCCAAGTGTCAGTAATGCCATTCTGCCCGTACTACTAGCCACTGTGCGGTTGCTGGCGTGACTCCGGATTAAGCCCCAAGACACAACGGGACGAGTGTGTCTCGTAGTGCGGTCGGTAAGCGCCATTCAGCCGTTGTTAATATATACAGTAGAGGTGCTGTCCCATGAAATGCCAGCTGCAATTCCAAAACGTGATTCGAAAAGATTACTTGAGTAGGGTTACAATATTAGCTGTAATGTAAGAGAATCCTAAGATAACTCGGTCACGCCAGGCTGCCGGTTTCCGAATGAGATGCTTTTCGTCCGTCTCCAAAATTTACACTGTAAAAAATGGCTACTTAAAAAGGTATGCATTTTCCCGTTGATTTTCAATGAACTTATAAATTGAAATATATTTTATAGAAAAAGTACACAAAATATTCTCTCGTGCTCACATAGTAGCAAATTACTTCTTGTTTAAATGTTCTGCTTGAAGAGAGAGTACCTTTCTGTTTTTAAAGACTCTTGATTCCCAAATATTTTTGCCCCACATGTCGCTATATTTACATTTAGAAACCGCATAGGGAACGCTGGGGGACCTACTGATGAGCCGAGCCCTCCGCAGCTGTGTCACGCAGCGGCAGAATATCGGCGAAACACGTGTCTGGGCTTTTAGTTAGTACATATGTCGGGAGTACGGTATAATACGTTTGATATGTACGTTTCATACTACTCATAGTGCCACTTGTTTACAGAATGGGCATTACGTGGCTACTCCACATTAGTCGATTGTCTTCGACTCAAATGTTCATTGAAATTTCTTCTCTGACCCTGAAAATTCATGTCCCGGAGACTTAACTCCACGTCCTGCACTGAGTAGTTTCTGAAACTGACAGGACAAAGGGCCCGTGGCCCAGTGGATAGAGGCGTTGGGCTCCTAACGAGCCACGAGCCCGTTGCCCTGTCGGTTTTCGATCGGGAATATACAATGTTAGTGGGCAGCCAGCCGTCGGCAGCCAGCCATACGCAACCCCAAAGTGTGGAACACCTTGGGCTCGATCCCGCCCCTAACCACTGAGCCGCGGGCTCGTCCTCTCGGTTGCGACTGGGTACATACAGCGTTAAAAGAGCGCTCACCGGTCGTGTTACGGAACTCACTCTTGAGTCTGACACTTCATAAGACAAGTTTTCGTCGTCAGACTTGAGTGCTGTGTCGCGTTTTACGCTATCGAAGGTGTGATGGTCGCTCTAACGCGCCGTTAGGTGCAGGGTAATTTCTGCAATCTCAGCAGTGTGAGTGGAGTGTTATGGCACCATTAAACTCGACGAAGTGTTTGGGGAAACATGGTCATGCCATGTTCCCTTTTGTCGCCGGCTGCACTGAAATATGTAGAAATCCGGAACGTACCCAGTCGACAGCCAAGTCACAAGTTTCCAGTCTGTATAGCGCCTGGTACTAGCCCAAACCGCATTCATGCTCTTGTAGATTCCTGGAGAGCGGGTTCGTTTAGGAGAAGTGGCGAGCATTGTTTCACAGAATGCGCGATCTTCAACCGGTCAACATCCTTCATCGCAAATACTCGTAGACCTCAGTGGTCGACCTGAACTGTTTGCAGTGGCACGGTCAGCGGTGGCCAAATTCCTTGCTGACAGTGGGTCCCAGACCAAGCGTCGAAATGCCTCAGCATCCGCGGTCAATAACGACAATGATCTCATTCAAAGTGCTGGACCGACGCAGTTCACTGTGCAGGTTCGTTCAGTAGTGACGGGTGAAGTACGGTCCGACCTAATCAAACAAGGTACGTACTTTCATCCGCAAGTAAGCTTCCTTTCTTACCAATCTGTACCCTGGCTTTCCACTAGTCCTGCCTGGTAGTCTCTTGGGTAGGGGATGAAAATAAGTACCTCTATATACTATATTCCTATAGAGAGTCTATTTATTTGATTTAGGTAGCACTGTCGTCTGGGGGATATGAGCACTGCGGTCAACCATTCAAGACTCCGTGAATCCAACCGGTGGGAGACACGCAAACGCCATATAAGGCTGTTGGAGTCGCCTGAAGCGTAAACTGTGGAAAAAAGACCTAGTATACGGAGAAGCAGTATGGGCTCACTTAGACAAAGTGCTGTGCCATTCATGGTTCGACATAAAACAACACAAACTGTGCGAGGTCTGACTGAATTTTATCCCATGGGAGCAGACTGCATCAACAGCGCACCATCTGTGTAATGCAGTATAAATAACAGACAGAAGAATTAGGTGTACCTGATTGTGAAAGCAGACCTCTCACCTTAAGGAATGCAGCGTATGATTGGTTATCGCCGATTTACGCCGGCTGTGTTTGCTTCTGCAATGAAAGCAGGATGCAGCTGATTTACGTGTGTCAAGAAGTTTTCCCGCATCTGGCGTAGCTTGTAAAGTTTTATGTCAAACCATTATCGATACCGCATTTCCTATGCAATGGATGAGCTATCTCATAATCAAGTGATACTTCGGTCACTTCAGGATGCTGGGTTTTGAATGCGCTTCTTTCTGGCCGTTTGCAAGAACTACATGGTAGAGATGGCTGTCTAAGTAGTATGCATTTTTCCCATTGATTTTCAATGCGCTTATAAATGCAAGCATATTTTATAGAAAACATGCGTAAAACCATTCTTTCTCGTGCTTATTTGGTAGCAAATCACTTCCTCTTCAAGTTTTATGCTTGAGGAAGGGGTATTTTTTCGCCTTTGTGTTTCTGATTAAAAGACTTCTTAAGACCGTGAAATATCTATTCGTGAAGCATCGTATCCATCCATTTATTAATGTTACATGTAAAGTAAACAAAATGGTCCACATCCATTTCATTTTACGAGTCTCATATGACGACCTCTTTGTAGCACATATGTAGATGTGTGATTTTCCTTACGAGGAAGATATACGACTTATGGTTTGGAAACCGCGAATACAAGTACGAAGGCCAGTCAGGTTCAAAATTATTTGTCGGTTGAGAAGGTTTTTGAAAGCTCGTCGGAAACATATAAGATATAGGCAAACGTAGCAGGGATCAAACTGGTCGACTGCACAGCAATCAGGCAGGAAAAAAAAGTACTGTTAACAACAGTGGACCTGGGAAATTTTGGTTTCTTAAATCACACAAGTAAACCATGGGAGTGTAGCTCAGGGGTACTTATTTCAGTGCCCTACTTCCCCTTAAAAGAGCGATGGGTGCAGTTTTCCAAGGTAGTGGACGTAGGCATTCTGTTGCCGACAACAACAATTGTTGCCTACTATAATTGCTTCAGTAGGCATATTTTGTCCGGCGTGAGGTTTCTTGTCAACTCTCACCTTGCCCGAACTAGTCATCCCAACACCTGAGTGACTTGCCTCGTGATCTTGCGCCAGGCGTTCGAAACATTCTACGCGACACCACGCACCTGATTCCTCTCTAATACATTCTCTAAGTCCATTCAACCTCGCAGGCCGGTTTTTTGCAGTGCCGTGGACTGGTCTTTAAAATCAACGGTACGCAACTTTTAGGGCCTGGTTTTTCCGTTCGGGTGGCTTTTTGACCTTAAAAAACAATGCGCTCCGCTTTGCCCATGCATCTCGTAATCGGACCATTGATTGTTGTTACTCTTCAGGTCGTGACCTGCTCACTAGGACGAAGAAAGAAATGGACCGCGTCTACCAGAAGTACAATCGTCTCCTGCACTCTCCGACCCTAAAAACTTTTTCCGAGGATAAAAAGCGACTTGCCGGCGAGTACCTTAAGACCGTTGTTCGGACCCAACACTCTCTCGCCGATGAAGTGTGGAAGAAGAAAGAACAAGAATTGCAGAATTCGTAATGGTGATCATTTATCTAGACGTTTGTTTTCAGTTTGTACAGCACCATTAAAGCATTCTTCGTCTTAACCAAGTTCTTATTTGTTTCTGTATAGTAGTACGCCACTCCTGCCGAGTATATAAGACGGCCACGCCTGCCGGAAGCCACATTTGTCGGAAGACGTTTTTATGTGCATGTTGGTAAATGAATACATGTTTTGCGTAAGGTGGGTCGGCCAACCTCGTCTCGTACTTATTATTATAGCACTTCGTGGCCGCTGTCAATGTCTTTAGAACTTCGAGGGTATTTGGTTCTTGACGTTTGTATGCTGCGCTCTGTGTGGCTCGAGGCTTTACGAGACCCGCTGATAGTACTCTGTCTACCCTCGTTATTACTTATTTAATCAAAAATTGGCTCGCACCCACCCACAACCCCATCCCGTAAATGGGGGAGGGGGGAGACTGTAACCGATATTGGTCACGGAGGCGTGCTGAATGGTAGCCTATGCTTCGCTGACGACGCAGTGCTGGTCGCCTGGAGGCGTCTATCTCGCTAGCAGTCTTGGGATCTGGCTTTGCAGTGTAGCGCGAGCTACTGGGACATTTATTTTACGTCATCCATCGGGGCTGGTGGTCACTAGTCGGCCGGGTTTTTCGTTAGTAGTGTTTGATGCTGCGTGACTTGAGGAAGGCACGCGCCTGGTTTTCTGCATCGCAACGATAGCCTTATGCGATCTAATATGCGTGTTTCGAATGTGTGGGATTCTTTGGGAGCGGAATAACCTGTATTGCGTAAATTTTCGAGACTGTCTTTTCAACCCGTTTTCGGACTTATGGGCCATGTATAAAAAAACTAATTAACCGTGCTGAATAAGTGATTCTGCGGTCGGTCGAAGCCTGCACCAATGCGTGTCAGTCGGCTTATTAGCCGTCGGCTGCTGGTTGGGCTCGAGATAGAGAGCCCGTAAGGCACAACGAAACGAGTGAGTTCCATAAGAACGATCGATGAGCGCCCCCTACCATTGTATATTCCCGATCGAAAACCGACAGGGCAACGGATTCGTGGTCCAGTGGTTAGAGGCGTGGACTTCTAACTAACAGGTCGCGAGTTCGGGCCTTGGGTGTTATACACTTCGGGGTTGGGTATGACTGGTTAACGACGGTTAATAAGCCAGAAGTGGCCATTTCAGTCTCCCTTGTCTTTGTCAGCAATTCCATTCTGCCCGTATATAAATATAATTTCGGAAAGTACTCGGTGCTGGACATGGAGTTTAGTTTCCGGACCATGACTTTTTAGGGCCAGCAGCGAAATTTCAATGAACATTTGAGTCGAAGACAATCGAATACTGTTTAATAACCACGTAATGCCCACTCTACAAACAAGTAGTACTACGAGTAGTATAAGACGTTTATATCAAGCGTGTTACACCGCACTCTTGACATAAGTACTAACCAAAAGGGATCACTTAAGAGTCGGGCATCCGAAGAAATCTAATCAGAAGGATGGAGTTTTTTGGGAAACGGAAAACTTTAGTGCAAATTTCCGAGACTGGCTCCCCAGCGCGTCTTCAGACCATGGGAGGGCAGAAACAATTAACTTCTAAACAGAGTCTAGCAAAGGATTCTATGAGTGGCTAGAGTCTTAGCCAATGCGTAACAGTTGCAATTCGTAATCTCGGGTTTTGTATGTGGCATCTAGGTCGATATCCTGGTTGGTGCATGCCTCGTCTGAGTGCATTCCCTCCAGGAATTCGCGGCCTTTCCTTTTTGGACAGGCGCCAACAATGCGAGTGTTTCCCCATGCAAATTTATGTCCAATGTCCAGTGTGTGCATGGCCACCTGGGACAGATGGTCACGTCTCTTCACCTCTCATTGATGTTCATGTATAGCGGTTGAGACAGATTTCCCAGCTTGCACAAAATAGACGGCATCACAACTGGAACATGGGATTTTGTAGAAAACACCTTTTCTTTCGAGGTAGCCAACCCTGTCCTTAGGGTGTACAATCTGTGTATGCAAGGTGGTTGTAGGTCGGTGTGCTACGTGTATCTGATGTTTTTTAGTTATCTTTCGACTAATTCAAATACATTTTCACGTAGGAGAGAGTTCGCCAGGTGGTTGGTTTTGATGCTCGAGCGGCCATAGCAGTGGAAATACCTTTTCTCTTGAATCGCTTGTGTCTCATGCACTGAGGTATAACGTCATTTTGGGAGAATAGTTTTTAGAGTTGTTTTGTTTCTGTACGATAGCTTGTTTAACCAAAGCAGTGAGTTTTAGCTCGATTCAGAAGGCTGTAGACTGTACTCCGTTTGTGAGAGGGTGGTTACTCTCACAGTGTAGGATGACCTCTAAATACGCCTCTTTGCGATAAACTGATGTATGAAGTGATCCATCGGTTTTTCGACGTACAAGGACACCCAGGAATGAGAGTTGTCCATCAACCTCTATTTCGAAAGTAAATTTGATCCCTGGAAATAGAGAGTTGCCATTGGTTTGGAGCAGATGAAACTGATTTTTCCTGACAATGACAAAAGCGCCATCCACATATCACAGCCAGAGTTTTCGGTTAACCTTGGGAGGAGCTATGGTTTCTAATTTCTGCATTGCGGCCTCTGCCAGAAAGCCGGATGTGAGTGAACTCAAGTTAGCGCCTTTTCTTTTATACAAACAGAAATCGCTCTGAAGCCCAGATTGGAACGAGTTGGGACTCGAACAGCAGATCTTTAGGGTCAAGTAGCGTGCGCTTGATTCTTTAGTTGAAACTACGTGAAGACCACGGACAATATTTCCATATCCTTGGTGTTGCCGCTGAAGTTCAATGAAGTGCGACCTGCTCATAAACAAACACTGAAGACCTAACAGAGACCTTTATATTGCGATATACCTCATGAAATCTCTTCGTCAGCTTCTGTCACATGTTTTGCTTTTTTCTTCATCTAGACAGGTATGAGACCTAGGTTACTATCCTCAAAAGCATCCTTTAAGCCGATCGGTGAGTGCCCTTTATGTTGACGTTTTTGTGGTGAAGGAGTAAATTAAATTATCAAACTATCCGACGTCATGCTGTAATGGTTCGACTACCCCAAACGATGACGCCCACTTCTGGCCGACGTGGTGGTCGCCGGGGTGTGGATTTGTTTATAGTGAAGCAGACTTCCGCTGCGTCTACCTCTCTCCTTCCCCCCCTACCATCTTCCTTCTATAGAAACAAATCAGGACGGATATTGGTGAACGCATGCTCAATGGCAGTCATCTGCTTACCAGCTACACCCACAGCCAGTGACCTGCCTCATGAAATGTTCACTGAAATGCCGGAATGCGTATTCGATTATGAAGGATTACTTGCAGAATAACATTACCGACAAAAACAAGGAAGATAGGGATAGCCCTTTCTGGTTTATTAGTCACCGTCAGCCAGCCATATCCAACCGCAAAGTGTAGAACGTGTGGGGCTCGATCCCGCGACCTGTTAATTAAAGTCCAAGTCCTCTAACCACTGAGCCACGTGCTCATTGTCCTACCGGTTGCGATCGGGAATATGCAATGGTAGAGGGACGCTCACCGATCGTGTGACAGAACTCACTCATCCCGTTGGCTGGCGACATCTAATAAACCAGAAATCACCATTCCAGTCTGCCTTGTCTTTGTCGGTAATGTTATTCTGTCCACATTACACGCCGCTGTGCGGCTGCTGATTGGGCTCGAGAGAGAGAGAGCCCTAAGGCAAAACGGGACGACTGAGTTCCGTGACACAATCGCCGAGAGCCCCTCTACCACAGGATTACTTGCATAAAGGCATTCTTTCCTGCGCTGATGTGGTAGAAAATCACCTTTAATTTTTACGCTCAGTGAAGGGGTATCTCTGGGCTTTTTAAAAAGCGTTTCTATTCTCGAATAATTTTGAACTCGGCCTACCGTCTTATGCTTGTTTAGGGTTTCCAGTCTACTAGCTGTATAGTTTCCGTGCAAGGGAAGACACGCATTCCTCTATGCCACTAAGTAGAAATCGAATAAGACTCATTAAATTTTGCAACGGAAATGGACTATGTTCAGCACTTCATGAGGAATATTATTAAACAGACGGATGTGATGTTACTTGAATGGACATTACGCGGCATTAAACATCTCACGGTTAGAAACTTCCCTTAAACCGAGCAAAAAATTGAATAAAACATAATTTGCTACCAAATGAATGCAAGAAATAATAATTTTGCGCGTGCTGCCCACAAATATATTGGAATTCATAAAGAAACCGAAATTGTATGGAAAAGCACTTGCTAATTACGTAATCACGTTTGCCGTGTGTAATTACAGGCGGCAGAAAGGAGGCGCATTTAAATGCCAACGTCCTACTGTGCCTGAAACATCAGAGCAAAATGCGGTAAGGTGATCAGTACTCCAACCCCACTTATGCGAGCCTTCCTAATCGGAAACGCGTTTCAGAACTTCGGCCAACACTTTTTGCGATCGGTCCTTGACTGTACACGCGATGTGGGTAAATGCTTGCCAGATCTGTGGGCTTATATATTTCATTTTCATCTGGACGGAGAATAACGAGGAATGGAGCAGTTCGTAGGATGTGAACAACCAGGGAAATCGTCAATGGGGTTGACGGTGGATTTAGGAACTAATCGACCCCCTGTTTTGCGATTGTAAATCAAAGTGCACAAACTGTCCTCTTTGTCAGGCCAGAGGAGGAGTATCGAAGGTATGCTAGTCAAACTCTTCTCGACCGAGCATTACGAAGTCTTGCATGATTACGATATCCTGAATCGTCACTTGTTCAGAAGCGCGTTTCCACATGTTTTCTAAGTCTCTGCTTCCTACCGATTATTTCTTCTCTCTTAAACACGAGTTTCAGTTAACACTCGCCAACAAGTAACTGAAAGGACTTACTGACTCGAAACACCATTTGTTAGCGCCCATTAAGACAGGAAATTAGGTGGAATCCGTTCCTCTCTCTCTCTCAGGGTTTAGCATGGAGGGGGGGGTCTTCCCTGCATGCCTGGTCTACCTACTGTGCAAGAGCATTGAACCTGCATTGTACACTGGCTGATCTTTGCTGACACATTGCGCTGTCTTTATAATGAGGACTTGTCATTGGCTAAAGGATACCCATACTGCGCCTAATTAGTGGTTTTTAGCAAGTCTGCCACCGTTTGCGTAGGCTTCTAAAAAGTTTATTTGCCAGACAGAAATGAGGTTGAAATAGAGCGATTTAAGTATCCAATGTCGTCACCTTGATGCTTAAGCCCAGCTGCTATTTTAAAGCAGAATTCACCTCTTAATTGTTTTTGATGGGGGAAAGCAGGGGGTTTTCGTAAGGAGTAGCACGAGGCTTCAAGGTTAGTTGCCTCTTAGAGGTAATTCTACCGTTGGAAAGATTACGTCAGAAGTGAGGAGCAGTGGATTCAGCTACTCGAACAAGTTAGTTATCTGCCCGACCCTGCAAATTTTTGTTCAAACCCCTCATGTGGAACACAAGAAGTTTCGGTCGGACAGGGGACACGTTAGTTTCCAGGGGGTTGTCGGAATTGGTACAATGGTGGACAACATCAGGGTTTCCTAATCAAAAGTCTGGGGGAGACTGATTGGGTCGGACAACATTATTGACGTGTAAGAGCATACAAGTGGCTCTTCAAACAGTTGCCGCAAGCTGCCTCTCCAGGTAAGTTGTTTTTTCCGTGTCCGTCGTTGAGGCTATTAGGCCCCAGCACGTGTGTGTATCATTTGCTCTGTTCCAGTTAGCGTCCACCAACCAATCAGAGAAGGGACAACGTTGATTGGCTTTGTGTTCCCGCGAGGCTAGTCACAGACCTCAAGTGGTCTCAGCAGCGAATCGACCGTGAGCTTGAGGCGAGCATGAAAGCGGCGTGACAAAGCGGCGCAGAACAAGGAAGCACCGACTGCCACAGTATCCCCCGCCAGACCGAAAGCGTTGTGGAATGAAGCAGAGGGGAATGTTGATGTCTAGAAACATGGGAAATCAAAAGGTCAGTAAAATGAACATGGCGTCCACCACGAGTGATACATACAGGGGACACAGGGGAAGAATGAATATGTCTTGCGGCTACAATATTGGAGGTTGATGAGAGGGTAGTTGCAGTTGAGGGTAACGGACATGGGGAAAAGGCAGCATACGGGAAGGGGGGATAAAGGGCTGAGAAGGTAGAGCAGGGGGTAGGGAACCATAGAGCTCATCCGGAGGAGTGTCAGAGACAGCAGCTTTGAGACGGTCCAAGCTCACGACCTCCTCGCGAGTTCCGCGTTTGATGTGGAAGTTTTTCGTCCCACGATGGATAACCAGGAAAGGGATGTCGTAGGGTGGTTCCAGTGGCCGGCAGACTCCATCACATCGGAAATGGGCGTGATAGCATGTTGCCAAGTCTTTTTCGAGGTAAGACTCGAGGACGTATGGCCTGGACGGAACCGGGGAGAGTATCCGTACGAATAACAGGCGATGGTGCAGGAACTTTGTGGGACCCTTGACCGCACCTCGCGAGGTTAACGAGATCACCTCACCAAAAAGTCGGACGGTGACACAGAACAAGCGTTCAGCGGCGGAACTGTCGAAAGCCGACTTGAGAGAAGAGCGCACTGCCACGGAGTTTCTATTTTTATGTTCTAACCCTCCGAGCCACTACCCTAACTCTCACATACCTAACGTCAACCCCAACCACCATAGCCGTAGCGGCAGCCTTAATCCAAAACTTTCCCCTCTGGAATGTGGGGCAAGACCACCTGTAATACGAGGAGGTGTCCATATTCCTGTGCCCAGCTGAAACTTATTTTCTTACCCCGCTTTTGCATACCGTTATTTGGTCAGTTTTCGCTTGTGTATCCCAGCATCAGGGAATCAAAGCAGGTCAAAAAGATCCAATCCAAAGTGGACGTTATATGTCCTGGAGTTGAGGCTGTGCTTGCTAGTTATATGTGCATGCAAAAAGGGTTTGAGGTTAACTTAACATTAACGAGCATATGAGTTCTCAAAGTCCTGCATATTTGGATGCGTTACATCTACCGAGCGCATTTTCCATGCCCGGATATATTTTCACACGCCAGTTTGAGGGACAGTAGGTGGGCTAACTCATGAAATGCCAACCGAAATTCCGAAATGTGTTTTTGTTTCGAAAAGATTAATTAAGTAGGGCTGTAAAACTAGTCAGCATGCAACATAAATCCATAATAATTCAGTTACCTCTGGATGCCTGCTTTCGGATGCACTTCCTTCCGGCTGCATGCAAAAACTACACGGTTAAAAATGACTACTTAAGCAGCATTAATTTTTCTCATTGGTTATCGACGTTCATTGAAATTAAATTATATTTCGTGGAAAAAATGCATAAAAATATTCTATCTTTCTCTCATTCGGTAGGCCGTTACGTTTTCTTCCAATCCTATACTCGAAGGAAGGGTATAATTCGGTTTTCAAAAAATTTTCCAATTCTCGAATAATTTTGAATCCGCTCTACCGTTACGCTTGAATTCAGGGCTTCCAAACTACAAGCCGTATATTTTCCGCGTACGAAAAACCACACATTTCTCTACGTTAATAAAAGAGACTATATAGAGTTCATAAAATTTAGCTGTGGATGTGATCCATATTGTTAACTTTACAAGCCACATTGGCAAATGCAGAGACATGACGATTTATGAACGGTCATTTCACGGTATTTAAAATTCCCACAATTAGAAACTTCTTAAAACCGAATTATGTTTCTCCTTCGAGTATGAAATTAAAAAATTATAAAAGTAAAAGATCAATGACGTAATTTTCTGCCGAATGAGCAAAAGAATGAACACTTTTATGCATGCCACTTTGAGGTAAGTCCCTGTTTTGGCTTGTTGATTTTTCTGAAACGCCACTCGTTGAAACTGCGTCATGTCGGAGTACAACTGCCATCTTTGAGGGGCGGCTGACAACTGGTGGCCTTCCACTTAACCAATGAGCTGCGTAATGCCGAACGACCTGAACGCGTGGAGGTGATTTCGTGGGGTTTAAAAGGACAGTTGGCGGCCTGGTGCAAGAATGCTGATGCGAAAGGACGATCGCTTGTAGGGAACGATTTCTCTCTCTCTCTCTACGTAGTTTTGGGAGAGAAACGCTATTATCCTGCCATCTAGTCTGTGTTTTATCGAAAACTTGACAGGGCTTTGTCCTATTTTTAAAGGTAAATTTATAGAACGTGGGCTAACTCACGAAACGTCAGCCGAAATTCCGAAACGCGTTTCCGTTTCAAAACGATTAATTAAATAGGGTTGTGAAATTAACCAGCGTGCAGCGTAATACTATAATAATTCACTTACGTCGGGATGCCGGCTTTCGAACAAACTTCGTTACGTCGTATGCAAATACTAGGCTTAGCAAGAAATGACTATTTAAGCAGCATGAATTTTTTTCGTTAATTCCTGACGCCCTTAAAAATTTAATCATATTTCATAGAAAACACACACAAAATTATTCATTCTTTCGCTCATTCGGTAGAAGATTACGTCTTATTTCAACTTTAAACTCGAAGAAAGGGGATGATTCGATTTTAAGAAGTTTCTAATTGTGGGATGTTCAATACCGTGAAATAACCGTTCGTAAAACGTCATATCTCTGAATTCACCAATGTGGCTCGTGAAGTTAACAATATGGCTTATATCCACTGCTATATTTTATAAACCCCATATGGTCTCTTCTTAATAGTATAGAAAAATGTATGGTTTTCCGTACGTGTAAATTATATAACTTGTACTTTGGAAACCCTGAATGCAAGTGTAACGGCAGGTTGGGTTCAAAATTATAAGGAACTGGAAAAGTTTATGAAAACCGAATTGTACCCCTCTCTAGAGTATAAAATTGGAAGGCGACGTAACTTTCTGCCAAATGAGCAAAAGAATGAATATTTTTATGCATGTTTTCCGTGAAACAATTGAATATTTAGGGCACAGATGATCAGTGAGAAAAATTCCTGCTACTTAAGTAGTCACGTTTTTGCCAAGAATTGTTTTTTTGCGTGCATTCGGAAAAAATTCCTTCGAAAGCCGGCATCCTGAGGCAGATGAACTATTATAGCATTACGCTGCATGCTGATTAGTTTTGCGACACTTCTAAATTGATCTTTTCGAAACGAAAACACATTTCAGATTTTCGGTTGTCATTTCATGAGTTAGCCCACCTACTGTACCTCCTTCTCCTCCTCCCCCTCCTCCTCCTCCTCCTCCTACTGTCACCGAAAACTGTCATTTTCCCTCCTTAAGTTTTAAAACTTGCAAACCGCCTTCGTTGGGCTTACCGCAGAATTGCTTTTTTTCGACTATTCTGATGCGCACATTCACAAGGGCCACGCCATGTCTAGGCTAGTTTGCGTAATTTGCGCGCTTGGTCCATATTCTGCTGTTGCTTCCCCATCGTGATCAAAAATTATGTTTATTTAAAGTTTTTCCAACAGTTCTGACCTCCATGGAAACCAAGTAATCCAAAGGCACCAGAAATTAACTTTCTACTTCCACCGACGTTTGCAAGTCCAGTTCAGTTAAATTCGGCGCTGAAATAGGACTTTGTAAATCTATCGGGAGGGGGGGGGGGAGGAGGCGCCTTTCCTGAAAACAGCAGATGCCTCACTTTCACCTACCTTCATCAAGGCCTGCTCAATGTCAGAAGTTAGTCCCGGTCGATAGCGACGAAGGTATCATCCACATACTGGGCCCAGAACTTCGGTCTGTGGTGTTGGAAGACAAGGGACTCCAACCGTTGCAAGACCGCTTCGGCGATGAATCCCGAAATCGGCAAACCAATCTGGGCTCCCTTCACCTGTTCGTAGATTGTCCCGTCGAACGTGAAGTACGTCCTGAGACAGAGCTTTAGGAGGTAGAGGACTTGGGTATTTCCACTACGATTCTCTATTTCATAATATTTGCTTTGTAGAAGCCGCTCGATTGTCTCGATCGTCAGGTCCTGGGGAACAGAAGTAAAATGGGACGTAACGTCAAAAGATACCATGACCTCATTTGGATAGAGGCTTAACCCTTTGAGTTTCTCCAGGAATTGTGCTGACGAAGAGACCGTGGTGTTTGATGCAGCGGTCAGGAACAGCCACCTTGCCAGTCCAATCTTTGAGTACCTTTGGGCGACACGATGGGTCGGAGAGGAACGCCCTGTTTGTGCACCTTAGGGAGGCCATAGAATCAGGCCAAAGTCGTATCTCGGAGTCTCACCATGCGTCTATCAGTTGGTGTTATTGCACCTGAGCTCTCTAGGACCAACAACGTGGCATTAATTCCGCGTGCCAGCACTTTTACAGGGTTCGTTGCACATGGGACATAGAACTGTTGGTCCTCCAGTAAACCTTGGACTTTTGGAAGGTAGTTTGTCCTGTCCAGTACAATTGTGGAGCACTCCTTGTCCGCTGGCACGATGCCCAGGTCGCTGTTCGCCTTGAGTTCTCTAAGCTCATCGCGTTCGCCCCCGGGAAAGCACTTCCCGCGGCCTGTAGGCCGTGAGGAGAGATTACACTTGGCATCATCCTTCACGAAGCATTTGCTGATAGGCAAGAGGCGTTGATGTCCTCAGGTATTATAGGTGGACTCACTAAATATCAGGGAGGTTAGGGCTCTTGTTAGAATTCGGGTTCAAGTTAGGACGCGGAAATAGGTACTCGATTGGAATTTGGCGCAAGGCCACTTGTAGTACGGGTGGAACGTCTATCCCCTTGTACAGTCCATTTGCGTTTAGATACTCTCCTGCTCTGGTTAACTGATGGCCTTCTGTTATTCTGTCCCCGACTCTGACAGCGCGGAGCGGTAGATGAAGAGCCTTAAAATAAGATTATCTCGCTCATCGATTTTTTTCTGTGCAACTTGACTTCTCGGGCATACTCTCACAGCCCAAAATGCTCCACAATATCGCCGTCGCTAAAATAAAATTCTACTTGCAGCCTTTCGCTTGGAGTTTTCCGAAGTTTGACTAATATTCAACTAAAGTAACGTCATCTCTCTCTCTCTCTCTAACTCGCTCTGCTTTTCGTTGAAAGTTCTAGGCAGCTCGAAGATTACAGGGAACTCGTATGACCTTGGATCATAACTTCGAGGCCAGAATTGCTGCCGAAGTTCCGTGCTCATGCGATTTCCGAGAGTAATACCTTGAAAATGCAAAATAATATCACTGGCTTAGAGCAACTTCCCCTGTCTCTGTGGTTTCATAATCGCCAGCATGGAATTCAGCCAACGAGTCCACGCCTCCTCGGACAGAACATAAAAAGCAACCATCCGCGTACTGTTCTAAACGTGTTAACTAATGCAGCCGACTAAGGGCATTCCTTGCGAGAAAACTACGTAAGGACTACTGAAGACGCCAAACAGATAAGATTTCAGTCTAAATATTAATTGAAGGTAGAAAACAGTTGTGCATCAAGTTTCATGTTCTCAGAACGCTTGCCGCTGTTAGGGAAAAAGCGGCCACCTTGAAGGGCTTGAATGGAGACAGCAAGAGGCCTTGGTCCCGTAGGCGGACTTTAAAGAGTGGCGGTGCTCAAGGCCCTTTCACACCCGCATGTAGCGAACATAAACGGCAAATGCATAATAAGCATCGTTACTTGATTAATGCTGCCTACGTCGTACGACTCATGGGGCTGCATCGGCGAGTAGAAGGACAAAAACATTCAACGAATGAATGCGGAACCCTCTCAGGATGTTTGTTGTTCGCGTGGAAAAAACAATGGTTCACGAGGTGGCGCTTTCCAAAGCCCACACTATGCATGAATGAACTCATTCGGGGATGAAATCATGAGGAAACAAGCGGCACGATTTTGAAAGGGTTAATTTAAGTACTTGTTGTCCAGAAGAACAAGCATGCTGACTTAAACCGTGTGAAGCAGGAGTAAACAGCAGTTTTTTTGGCGTCTAACAATAAAGCGCCCAATGCGTTCCCATAAGAAAAGGGCAAAGTAACAGTGGCTGTCGCTACTTCTGCCAGAAAAATCTTCGGCAAGGCGTGAAACAAACAAACCACCTCCACAGACAGATTTGTTAGAGACAATAAATGGAGTGAAATCTTTTTGGAAAAAGTTGAGGTTCTTTGGTAAACAGAGGTGAGAAGGCGGATCCCGATTTGGGCTTGAAATAGTGGAATTTCGGATAACAGTAATTTCATTTGGAAAGACAGGTAGAACTTGTGTACATTCATCCCTGATTCTGGAGTACCGAAAAATGAGAGAAGGAGCTTGTACATAGTGTTGGAACTACGGAAGACATTACTTTCATTTAGAAATTATCACCACATCGCAAATGTATCTCACCCTTTTTAAGTAGTTGCCTACGGACTAGCACCAAAACAAATCTAATTTTGGAGCAGCGATAAAAGAAACGTAAAATAACTTAAAAGTAAATTAAAAATACTTAGGTTGAGATATTTGAAGAAGAACTCGCCGGTTTCCATCATCCTGGCCGTCTTTCCTTACAATGGGAAATGTTCAAAGCGACTAATTAAATATTTAGATGGAACTGACTGGACCGTAATAGACGCTAAGTTTCTGCTAATGTAGAATGCGAAAAACATTACTTTCGTATGACAGGAACGCTCCAGTTGTTCGCATTAATTTCTTCGGGATATCTGTTTCAGGTTGCGGTTTCACGATGAACTGGCGGCGGAATTTCATCTACAAAGCAATACCAAGACCTCATTACTGTCAAAGCCTTAAAGGCGAATTATTTCATTTTTTAAAAGGGCGCTGTCTATAGACATATGCTTTTGCAAATACTTCCTTTCCAAAATTTGATTCAAGTTTTTTTCGCGGCCAGTATGCTAATTTCACGCTGGCTCAGATGGGCACTGATTGCAGTGAGTAGAAAAAAGCACCTGATGCCCGTGACCATTTCCTTTTGGGGAAAACTTTGTCCCAACAAAGGATGTACACAGATTCAGATAATACTAAGAACTCTTCAAGTTCTTCTGTAAACCAAAAACTGCTTAAGAGGTAGCCAAACCCATAGGTAATCTATTTTCCACATGAATATTGCGGAAAGATGTGCGCAGTACTTTCTCCTTTGGCACAATAACTGTTCTTGGAGGAGGCTTTTAATTTCCAGGTACCCGCAATTATCAACTGTGCCAGTTTTTATTCAGATTGCGTCAAATTATTCGCCGCTGGTAGATCCCTACAACGACGGCCGTGGTGTCAACTGAAGCAGACGTCTTTACGGTGACCTTTCTGGCGTTTGGCCCAAGCCAGACCGTCTTATGCGCGGCAGGACAGTCGACTGAGGGTGCTATATGGCACGGCAAAGTGCACGTGCTGGCAGGAGTGGGCGGAGGACTTTTCGAAGTCAGTTTTTCACCGCAAAGCCTGACGACGTGTGCACACACAGAGGCAGGGAGGGGGGTGGAGGAGGGCAGTAGTTGAAGTCTGCCTTGGGAACTTGACCACCTTGTTGTAAGCGAAGTTGAAGGACAGGAGTAAGGGCGTAAAGTGGGCGGACACCGCCGCGTCTCTAGCCTTATTATTAGCACACTTTCTACCCCAGCATTCGCGAATTTACAGTTTTTTATACTTGCCACATGAATCGAGACTCAGGCAATCTATGGATAGTGACCGACTCCATAAAATGTTAACCCAAATTTTGATGTACGTGTACGAGTCAGGAGGATTACTTAAGTAGGCTTGGCTATCGTGCGGCATAATCCAATAATTTCGCAAACTCGTCAGGACGTTGGCTTATAAATGCACTTTCCTTTTGGTCGCCCCCAAAAACCTCCCTCCCTAGTATGCACTTTTAAGTTGTTTCTCGCAGTTTTTTAAACCCAGATATATATTAGAGAAAATAATGCCTAACAACAATTTTCTTAAATTCATTTGGTGGAAAAATATTTCTTCTCTATGAAATTGTGCACTTGAAGAAGATATCTTTCGGTTTAAAAAGTTTTTAATTATTAGATTTTACGAACTTTTCTCAGTCCTCGACATAAATTGTACACGCAAAATAGTACTTACATAGTGTTTAGTTTTCCTAAGGATTTACTACGCTAAAATGTATGCAATCACATATCTCCAAAATGATCCCCTTAGTTTACATTCCTTATGCGCATTTCTTTAAAAATTTTAAAGTGTGGATACATTACAATTTTAAAAAGTCCACATCCCAGTTTTATTTTAAATGCGGTCGGCGTTCTCCATTACCTGAAAGATCTCTAAATTTAATTTTATTTTTTCTTAGGCCAAAATTATATAATCCTCGAATTCTTGGCGGAAGGACGACCGAATTTCATAGAATATTCGGCAGAACTGACTTATATGGCTTCCTAAACAAGACGTGAAAACAGAAACGACTGCGACGTGGGTGGCTTTGAGCCATATTGCAGTGAATTTGTAGGGGCACAGCGGTAAAGTAAATGCTCTGAGCGCTACAACCAGCAGGTCGAATCCTACGTCGTACGGAGAAGACAGAAGTCACCGGTTTGAGGGGTTTATTGTGCACAGAACCCGGAGTTGTCCTATCAGGCGACAGTGGCCACTGGCGAAGCTAGGGCTGGTGTTGACTGCGTCCAGTCACGCCTGAGAGTCCCTGAAGTAGTGATGGCAGCCGCTTTTGTAGGCTCGTGGTTCAAGCTCAAGTGGTATCCAGTCCGTGCTTGTTGCATTTGCCGAGGGATGGTGTCCCAGTGGCTTATTTTGCTGATTGCAGGGGGTGGCGCGTTCAAGTGTCCGCATAGGCAGCTGCGACTGTGCAGATGCAGTTATGTCAGAGCTTCTGGTCGTGTGACTTTAGCTCAGCGCGCCTGGAACGGCTAACTGCAAAGGGTGAATGCCCTTGAGGCAGCGAGGTCATGAACAATGACGCCAGACCGGTCAAGATGGCTGGCCGCCACAAATTTAGGGTTAGGTTTAAGGTAAGGGTTAGATTAAAGGTTAGGCTTAAAGCTGAATTTAAAGTTAAAGGTTAGGCATGTCAAGACCAAATATAGGACTGAGGCAGGAGCTAGTGTCTGCTGCAGAATTAAGGTTTGGGAAGGGGTAAGAATCAAGATTAGGGCAAGGATTCATTTTTATACTGGTGTTATTGCTGAGGTTAGAAAAGAGAGTTATTTTGACAATTCAACAGTTATGCACAGGCCCGCCTTTATTACTTGGCGGGGCGTTCTTATCCCTATGTCCTATTTGGGAGGCCATATAAATCAGTCCTACTGAACAGTCTAGTAAATGTATATATATATTTGCCTTGTTTAATTTCCGAGGAAAGTAATGCGCGAACTTGGAGTAAATCTTTCGAAACGGGCCTTTTCATGCACGGTCCAAAGTTTGGTATGAATATTTGAGCTGAAATCCATCAGCTACTGCGGAATAACCGCTTAATATTCACAAACCGCCAACAGGCAGCCAGTAGTATAGAACTGTGCAATGATTTACCGTACTAACAACACAGGTATTAGCTAAAAGCCCAGACATGCGTGTTTTACCGATCTTATGCCGCTGCCTGACGCAGCTGCGAGGGGTTCGGATCATCATTGGGTCCCTCAGCCTTCTCCATGTGTTTTCTGGTACCTGACCTCCGGTTTCAACTTGCCTTGTTTAATTTCCGAGGAAATTAATGCGCGGACTTGGAGTAAATCTTTCGAAACGGGCCTTTTCAGGCACGGTCCAAAGTTTGGTATGAATATATATATGTATATCTTGATATTTTAAAAATATGAATCATCATTTATGTTCTAAAATTAGCATTGATAAACGCGAAGATGCCACTGTCTGAAAAAGGAAAGGAAAAAATTAAAATGAAAGGGAAAAGGATTATGTTTACAATCAGTTCTAAAACGACGCGGATACCTTCCTCAACTACAAGATACACGGAAGACGTTACTTACTGCGAAAATGATGTAAGAGGGCAGTCTTCTGTATGTTTTCTTCATTTTTTTGAATTCCTATTACTTTCCTGACTTACTGGGCACCAGCAAATTTTATATTCTGATGGAGAGCAAACCACAGATTCTTGTCTTATTGATGCTCATCCCCAACTCTCGGATCAGCTGACTTAAGCTCATCCTTTGGTCACGCACAGAGGGTTCACCTCCTAGGATATGCTATTTTTAGTCCTTTCAGAGGTAATCTACTCCCTAAGGCTTACTAATGTAAATTCAGAATCTCCCTATACCCCTCTATTTTCCGCCTCCTACCTTTGTGAAAAGAGGAATATTGCTCTATTTCGCCTATTACCCGCATGTTTTTAGTTGACGCCATTTCCGATAAATGTGCTGGCCCGATACGAATTTATCGAAGACAAATTTATGCTCGTCAGCCGGTCTTTCGCAATGTCAAAACAAGTTAAAGACCCCACGGTGCTAAGTATACTAAGTGTGTACCCGCATGTCAACACCAAGTTTTGGAGGCAAAATTGCTGGTTGAAGCCCACCGGCGACTGTTTCGAGATAAACCATACTCATATTGACCCAACTGTGAAAAGTTCGGCGCCTCGATGCGATTCGAACCCACGCAGTAAGGGGGAGGCTTTAGGGCAGCCAACGCTCTAACCACTTGAGCTACGAGGCCCCGCCGGACGACTCGAGTTTAATCACATTTGGGTCACGTTGCCCGCCCAACTCACTGCAACGTCTGGAATCCACCAAATCTGATATAGTAAGTTGACTGCCCAAGCAGGATTTCCTAAGCAGTTCACCAAGAATCCACCAGATGACTACCAGGCTCACCTAATTCATAGGTATGTTGGCAGATTTTGAACAATTCATATTGACCCAACTGTGAAACCGTACTCAGTCCAAGGTAAGAGAAGGTGGATACAAATATGCCCTCTCTTCTTCAAGGGCTACACGAAATGAAATTACAATTAGGTCTCCAAGCAGATCAAGGGCGACGAACACAACCATTCTTCCCCGAAACTCCTAGAACCTTATATGAGGCCTAATCTCTGGGCTATGAGTTCTACATGCCTCGCTGAAGCGTTAAGCATTTAGAATTAGTAGCCCGGTTCGAGGATCTCGAAAACCAAACACACAGTCCAAAATCCGATTCCACAGACAGTATCTCACACTCTGACTGGACACTGGTGAATTACTGTTATCAATACCGGAACACGTAGCTAAACTGGATGGGTTTCGCTTAAAAAGAATACATTTTTAACTAAGTCAGATAATTGGAAAGGTATTCTTATAATAAACACCCTGGACAGCATAACGAAGGCACAGCCTATATTCCCAGACCAGAAAACATTCAACAATGTAGACAAGGAAAAAGAATGCAGAGTTGAAGTGGAAGCACAAATGACCGACTAGCAAAGAAGACGTATCGCAGGCAGTTTTTGTGAGCGATCGTGACCCCGAGAACTCCCGTCTAGACCGTCCACGTTCACAAGGATGGCATGAGGAATTGTCCCATTTTCGAAATGCGTAACGCTCCGTATCATGGAATAGCCAAGTATTTAGCGGAGAAATTCAAACCTGTATAACACCCGTTAACACCCTTTAGCTGCCGGGACACCGTTAAATTATTTGATCACGTCAAGGACCTGAACCCAAACAGAATGACGATGTTTACACTAGACGTCTATCACTTTGCGCGTACATCGCAGCCACTGAGAGAGTGAATCACATTTGTGAATTTCTACGGGCTATTCAACAGGAAACAGGAATACCGACGAAATCACTCAAGGAGATATTATTAAGATGCAGGCTAGACGTGCGGTTACTTTTTGATAACCAACTACATATGGATAAGTAGATGACACTATTAAGAACTCATCTCTTGATCCTTTTTCAGTCCATGCATCCTTGGAAAAGTTGTGGCAGTTTCGCCTAAGCGGCCAGGTAAATAGGCTGGAGCAGTACGATTGGTACTTTGATTACATCTTTACAAGTGCCACTACTTAAACCAAAGTAAATGCCCTCTTGGATGTGATATATTCGGCGCATTCGGCGATAAGGTTCACGTTGGATGTGGGGACGGCAAGTTCGCCATCTTTCTTAAACGACCTTCTAAGCAGACGTCCTAGCGGTAACATTCGAAGAAATGTCTATCGAAGGAGAACTCTATCTAGACAATATAAAATCTTCAGCAGCTTTATCCTCATCGGTCAGAAACGTAATTTAGTCCGTTGTCTGGTGCAAAGGTGTAGACGTTTTTGTTGACAGAAGGTATCGACAAAGATCTTGGAACGACCCAGGATCCGCTTCGCGAGAACGGGTGTGCTGATGGATATAGCATTATGAAAGGATACAAAGTCCACCATGCAGACGGTAGAAAATAAAAACTAGACGCGACGAAGCAAGTTATGAGAAAACGCCTTGACGAAACTGTTACACAAACCTTTCCAGCAGCAAGGGTTCGGGTATGTTTCTTGACCAACCGCACCCTGCATTAAAGCCGGCACAGATCATATCCACGTGAATTCGCTCCCTTACTGACTCCTACGGAGCAAAGTAGATTTGTCGGAATGATTGACGTTTATCCAAAAGACTACGAGAACACCTCCCACCCCCCCGAATGACTGAGCAAGGACGAAATCAGGAGCATAATCAGCGCCATTCACACACTTACTGTTGATTCGTACATTATGTCGACCCCTACAAGTATTTTCATGTTATTTATAGGGTCCCACCGAACTATTTTAAACTAATGAGCCAGCAACTGCCGACAATAGCAGAAGTGACTGCAATCAGTTTACGCTAGATGGTCTTGAGCGCAAGGTTGAAAACTCCTACAGGCTTTGCATTTGCCGTGGCCAAAGGCCAGTTACCTATATGAAAATCCCCGTGCCCTCCTTTTCCCCTGACACGGCACTTCCTAACCCTATCCTCATTCCGACCAAGCATCATAACCTGATTAGAGCGATTCTTACTGCTTCTGTTATTGCCCTCCCTAATTCCCACTTGTGTGAAAATGTAAACACCACTTGATTTTTTTACTACACACGCGCTTTTATTTGAGTCTTTTGCAATATCAATGTAGTGGCCTGCCGAAAGCTTGTGAGAAACGAATGTCTGCTTGCCAGATGATATTATGCCTGACTGCCTTCCTTGACATGCTATTACCAATTTCCATTTTCCTGACTTTCACGTTGCCCTCAGTCTCTTTCTGTTCTAATTTTTATTTGCTTTTTGCCCTTTTCCACACTTCTTTTTCTATATTCCCCTCTTTGCTTACCATCCCATCAATCTCTGTTAGGCCTTTATGTCGCCATTACGATCCAAATAAGAACTAACCATTTAACCCGTTAAGAAAGACAGCGATCGGTTGGATACGATTAAAACACACATTTCACCAATGATGAAATCAGCATATTGCGCTGACAACTGACTGTAGTGAACGACATTTTAAATTTTAATCCAAGATTTTTCAAGATTGTACACGACGGCTGATAGTCGGAATGGGAAAATATTGCTGGACATTTAATCGCCCACTGAGGAAGTAGTAATAGATGGATAATCTGACGTGAGAGCCACTTGGGTTTTCCAATGAATCCGGAAAGAGCTCAAAAGCAGCGGTCACGTTTCTGGTTATTGGATTATATTGCCAAATTGTTTTTAGGTTGTCAAAGTCAAAAAGCAATTCTGGCTCATTATCATGATCAGAAGTTACAGTTGCGTAATCACTCAGGGCAATCGTCATCTCATTTCATAAAGTATTTTGAACCCTGGGTTTACCGATGGGTCGAAGGCTTGGGCTTGGCCGGCCAAGATTTCGTGCGCATCCGCAACCAAGTAAATGAGCGCACACATAAAGTCAGTATGAACGGCACTTACCATTAAGGATGGACTGATGTTGGTGTTTGTCGCGTTCACTGGATGCAGTGTCATCTCGGGGGCGATCTCAGGAGGGGATGACTATATTTCAGTACAACCAAAGAATCACCTGATAAATGCATTCCAAAGTCATAAGGACCAACATTTATGGCAGTCACTTACATACTGAGGTGGTTGTGCTAGTCATCTAAGGGTTGGCGAAATAGGGCCCATTTAACAGCCGTTCTTCATTTCGTTCATAAAAGAAATTGCCTGACTGAAAATGAATCATAATCTTGGCTTGAGATACTCGTGTTTGGCCGGTATCTAAATTGTGCGTCAATTTAATTTATTATCCATAGCACGGCTTCCTTGATAGAAGTACACATTAAATTACTTCCTGAAACTGGAGATTTTGAGTTCGTCGGTTCACCAGTATCACAAACTAGTATGTTGGATGAAGCACAATACTCTTGGTCGGTGCAAATCAGAGGATAAAGTATTCCTGGCATTCAGTTTGCAGAAAGGTCAAATGTGCTCCACCAGTTTTCGAGCTTATTACTTGACCGAAAATCATCTCGAAGGAAAAGAAGGAAGTCTAAAATGGGAATTTCTGACCGAAAACCGCAGATAATCTAGAAACAACTTCTCTGCAGTTTGTTCCTTGTCGCTGTGCGATCGCCAATGGAGACGTCAACCGTCGGAGCCCCTCCTGGCTGAGTAGTGGAGAGTCCCAAAAATTTCTCTCTCATAATGGAATGAATGCGTCTTTGGCTTTACTTCATCAGCTAAAGGTGTACTTTCTTCGAGTATTCGAAGGTACTAGTACTGCCAACGCACTGGGCTACACCGTGAAAGTCCTGCCTGCTTAATTTCTTTATCTGAAAAAATCATTGAAAGTGAATGGGACGGTATCTGGACATCTGTAAGTCATTTCAGTCGGGTCATGACATCCGTCCGGTTTGTCTACGGCTGATGATAGAACGCCCCTCAACCTAGGCGATACGTGGATCCTGATATAGTCATTGGCAATTCCATTTATGCTTTCCTTTCTGACTCCAAGCTTACGGTTCAACTCGGCTTAATACTCGACGGAACTTTCGATGTCTGCCGCTCTCCCCACAATCGATAAACTGACGGCCTCATTCTCAACAACTGTTTTCCCTTTTTAGAACATACAGGTAGTTTTCAACATCTTGACATCTTTATATTTAAGAAAATTGGACAGTGATGCTGCTGGAATTCTGTGCGATTGCTTTTCGGCAGAGACTTGTTGAGAATACTGCTGCGCAAGCCTAGTGCCTATGACATTTGTGTTGTGTGGCCAACCAATTTTTAAAATAACGGCAGTTTTTCGCTCAAAGACTCCTCTCATTCTAGGTTTTCACAGCGCCCCGGCAAGGCACCGACGGAGCGGCATCTGTCCTCTAACCTTCAGTTAAATTCCGATTGACTGTTTAAGGTCCTCCCAGTGGGATGTTGGGACCGCTATCCCCCGAAGAGAAAGTAACTTGCTTAAAAGGGATACAACTGCGATATTACATTTCCGATATCACGTGTGTATGAAGGTACTTCTTAGGAACTCAAAAAACATTGTCTAAACAATTATGAATAATCCATAAATAAAATAAAAGGTCTGTGAAAGACTCTCGGGCAAGTAGAAGCCCATCTAGTAGTCTGAGACATCCATGAACGTTCCTGTCATTCTTGATCAAATTTGCAAAATGGTTTCCCAGGCACCAAGAGGACTTAGACATGTTAAATGCGGATATAGTACAAGTTTTTTGGCCTCCGAGCAGATGCTGGCAACAGTGGCAGTCTAATTTTTTATGTCAACCGAAACAGAAGTGCGGTAATTAAGGAAAATCGAGCAAACCTTGAAAGGGTCGCAAAACTTGCGCGCTCGTAAGCACTGAAGTGGAGCTGATGAACCTAGTTTGCGAGGGACTTGATCGCGAAATGAATGAGGAGTGACTGCACCAGTGTTGGCAAAAGTGGAAATGGTAAGGATGGGAACGCGCAGCTAGCCGAAGAACTGGCAACTATTTGTAGGACAATGCGTCATGTAGGGAAACGCGTACAAATTGCTACATCTTAACTGACTCCCTTTCCGTCAATCGTCAGAGCCGAACGAAGGACGTTAGATCACATCAAC